GACCCTGACGCTAGAGCTCAAGCCCAAAGTGTGGATACAATGCTTCTGGGAAATGGCTGGTGCACCTACAAGTGTCTACCTACTGGTGTTGTAGTTGAGACAAAACCCACTCTGCGCTACCGGAAGATTTTGTGATCAAGTGCAGCTCTCTATTCCTTATATGATCGTGAATAGATGACTGGCGTTTCATAGGCTTCACGTTCTTCATAAGGAAAAAGATACTCCTTCTGCTTCATGCTATTCTGACCCTACGAAGCATGCCAAGCGCTAAACTGATGTGCGACGTTCACCGCGAAAATGCTGCTCTTTATCTACTGCTTCTTGCCATGAATAGAGACAGCCCCGGCCAAAACGTTTCAAGCTCACTACTCATTCATAGCATCTCTAGTTTCTCGAAGGCATTGCATAAGCCTCTTCTCTACTTCACCTGGGCCTTAAACGTTGTCACCTTCCGTCTCCTGTTGACGATACTTATATCTGTCTAAGATGATATAGAAGCCTACTTCTCTCGTCGCAAAACGTCTAATGTATTGTTAAAAAGCAATGCTGTCTTGGAGTCTGTCGAAGGCCTTGACGATCTTGGCCTTCGATTTGGAATCATCTGCCCATCAAGCTCCGACACGATCCTCTTTTGCTATGATCATCTCAGGCTTTGAATCAAGTCTCAATCTATCTTTGTACCCATGTTTTCTTGGAAGAAGTCCGACCTCTTGCCAGACTTTGTGCGTGTGGCTAGACTATACACTTCTCGAAGCTTTCGTGCAAAGTTTCTGGTCAATGCTAGACTCTTGAGCACAGAGCGAATTTATCTCGCTAGGCGCGAGGGTGCAGGACAGGCGAAAGGATATCAAGCTGTCGGAAGTACATGGAGACAGGCTCGGAGGATACATTCAATCTGCACATCGATTCCTATCCGTGAAAGTCGATCTATGACAGTGCGGTATCACTGTGCCCGTAGTCGCGTCTTCGTTGAATGCATTGTTTTTGCTCCGAAGCTTGATTTGCGAGTCTTTGACCATGTTTCTCATAATACTGTACGTACGAGCGTTTGTCCTCAGGACCGCCTTGACCTGAATATGTTACACTAGATATCGTACTTGTAGACCCTTTGGGTTATCGTGAGCGTTGTGCTGTGTAATTCTCATACCGTGCGTTGGATTCTGATCGGCCGCTGATTGTTGTTGACCAATAACGTCGCGCCTCAAGCTTGGCCTTCATTTTCCAACGACGTACCCTGATATCTCAATCCTTCTTTTACACGTGTATTCAACCACATCGAGGCTGCTCGGCTCATTCTGTGGCTCAGAGAGGTGTCTGGAATCACGCTTCCTCCATCATTCAGGACATATGCTGTGGTTTGAAGATGCCCGTCTTGCCTTGCTGGTTTTCTCCAATCGTAGGTCGTCACACGAGGGCGAGAAAGCTGTCGAGGGTCGGCCGTGAGGTCTTTCTGGTCGTCGTGCGCGAGAAGACAGGCGATGTTACTCGACGGGTATCCTGCTTGGCTCAGTACCTGGGCGGTCGCCTTGCGATTGAAGATGTTCTCGCGGGAAAGGTTCAAGATGCCGCCGAGCTAGTGGGCGCTTGGGAAGGAAGGTCAAGGAAGGTATGTGTCGTACTCAAGCTGTGTGCTACTCATACCAACGCGAGCTCAGGTCGTTGTCGGAAGTCTGGAGAGGTAAGAGAGCAGAAGAGCTTACCAAATGCTTCCAATCGTTCTATCGCAATATGTCGTGTCGGCGACAGTGGCGGCTTCACTGTATGCTTGTAAAACGTATTGAACGCGCTGTCATACATCCAGTCGCTTCAGGCCTGGGTTCGTGTGGGAGAATCTTTGGGTTTCCATAGGATAGGTGGTTTCGCCACAAGGTGCACGGCGTACGATGCGTAGGTCAAGACAATTCGGTTGCTATCGTCGGTGCTTCGTACAGACATCCGTGTCTGCCTTGGGTCGGATAGTCGGTCGCCGCTCCTTCGAATTGCTGGCCGATCAAGGTAGTAGCGGAGAAGCCCGTGCAGCTTGCGAATCCCCAGCGCGTCTTTGGACCTTTCCTTTCTCTTTCTTTCTTTCAGACAAATCAATCACACGTCGTAAGTTCATCTGTTCCATTCAATCCTGCCCATGCTTCCTTGCACGATATCGAGACAGTCAAACCATAAAGGCGATCGCCGTTTCTGACCGTCGCATTTGCACATCTTCGCTTCTCTGCTCATGTGGCATTGGTCTTTGAACGTGGTGACTCGGGTCCCCATCCACTTCTCACACTCAGTCGCGCATCGAAACCAAATTCAACTTTGAGTCCTGGAAAGAGCTAACGTTCATATATAGATGGGTCTTACAGTCAACAACTTTGAATCTGGTGCCGTTGTAAGTAACATGTTTTGTGTCACGAAATCCTTCAACATAGTCCAATTCTATGGTCGTTTTCATTTCGTACTTCCTCTCTCCGTTTTCTCTTCACAGGGAAAGACTACAATCATAGAAAGAGACAACGTTCACATTGCATGCTTCCATTCCACAAGAAAGAAACAAAACACATATCGCATTTCCAAATCGCAGAAAGAGACAAGATACAGACCATGTCTCCCGATTGCGCAAACCTGCGAACCACATGTCGAGCGGGCTGTAGGCATACTAACTGTTTATAGGTTCATCTAGGCGGTAGCGGCGGTGGTGGGAGGAAGGGTGGTGGTGGTGGCGGTGGCGACAAGAAGGGGGTGGTCGTGGGGTCTCCAAAGGCCCATTTGTATGCATTGTATGGTAGGTTTGTCTGTGTAACACTAACATTTGTAGTGCTGGCATTGTAAGAAGAGCGGTCATTACCGCAAAGACTGCCGCTTGCTTGCGGTAAGTACATCTGTCAGAATTGTTGTGGATCTGTTATTGATTGTGCTTCAGGCCCAACGCTTCTTGGTATGGATTGTCGCATTCGCGGTTCCATCTGTTATGCGTGTTTGGAGTCTAATTTTGCGAAGCTTAACACCGATGCTGCCCGGGCAGCAGGGGCTGCTGCTCTTCCGAGCCCCGTAAGCATAGCCGTGTAGTGTTCGGATGCGATGGTATTGATATAGTGCAGGGTCCCCCTCAATTCTTGCTGGGTGGTCTCTCGGCGGCACCCTCGGTGGTCTCCGAGACCCCTTCTCTCGTAAGTTCAGTCGTATAACATAGTATAGGGTTCCGAGACAAAGGTGGTTGACCTTGATGGGTTGATAGCCTCCCACTAGCATGGCGAGTGTTCCATTGTCGACTTTTAATTATGCATGCTAACTTTTCTTTGGCAGAACGCGCTCGTTCGCGTATGATTTGTCCCGCTTTTCTGTATGGATACATGTTCTGATTGCGTGTAGCAGCAGCCCAACCAGCAGCAGCAACAGCAGCAGCAGCAGCAGCGGCAGCAGCACCAACCTTCGGTAATCAAGATTTGGTCATGGTGCAACGTGATATGTCTAATGTGTATGGGTAATATAGGTGACTGCCTTGCAAGCCGTGGTGCAGCACCAAGCTGCGACCATTGCAGCTCTGCAACAGCAGATGCAGCAAATCGTAAGTTTCTCTCGCTACTCGATTGGAACTTGCTGACAGTGTTGGACAGCAGGCCCAGCGCTCGACTGGCCCCAACAATGTAGGCGTATCATGTAGTAGTTGGGTTGTGACGCTATTCTGACACTTCAGGACTCCGATAACATGGAGGAGGAGCCCTCCGATGAGCACCCCAGTAAAATTTGTAATTGTCAAGCAAGGGAATGACATGGGATTCGGAGTTTATAGCTGTGACTCTTTTTCCGCTCTGCGGTTTTTTAATGAGCAAACCATTTTTTCGCTATAGAACCTTACCGCATCGTCGGTGTTTGAGTCAAGCTTCAGTAGATGGAATATCACAAATCCGAAAGTATACACAGGCGTGTCTCATGGGCCGCTGCCAATTTTTCAATCTTCTTTGAGCAGCTGAAAAAAGCCTCGTCTTGATCCTCTTGAATCAACGAGGCGGAGCATTCGTATACATGTATAGCAACCACTAGCTTGAACAGCAGGTGGAAATGAGTTCTCTTCGACTTTCGATGACTGTGCTGGGGTTTTGGGAGTCTGTGTTATAACCGTTGGATCTAACGAGTCAAGAGCGGAACTTAGTTAAGAGCGGGACTCGAAGAATGTTTGCCAGTTTAGAGGTAGGGTGCTTAAAACTCGGGACTCGAGATACAGGTACTACCTGATCATTTGGCAAAGGCGATTTGTCAACGTATGCGCAGTGTATTGAATGGTTTGGTTCTGAATCCCACGTAGCAGGTAAACAATAACGATGCTGATCCATTTGGCCAAGATATATGGCCATAGGCCATACCCTCGCGTAGACATACCCCACAAGCCACAAACTCTCTTCTTATTACTGATTTCCCTTGGCATCTCTGCTACACCGATCTCCCGTCTTGACTCCCAGCAACACGGCCATAGTAAGGTCTGAGCAGGGTATTCCGCCATACGGAATTGTCAAAAGATCTGCGCTAGTGGTCCGGAGCGTCCGTCTATCATTGTTCAGCTCAGCTCTGGACTTTCCAATACTGAGTTCTTTGCACGTCTCGAAAACCATCCACCGCAATGCACCGAGTCGCTTTGCTGAGGACATCGTACCTGAGCATTGCGCCTTCTGCGTCTTGATGTAAGTGCCGTGGCCTCTGAAGCCTTCCAGGCGCCACCTTCCACACACGAGCCTGTTTTCGGTCAATGACCCGCCACCACCTCTTTCCTTGTATGGCTTCGTCTCTGCAATAGCAGTCCGTGACAGTCGGGACTTGTGGACTCCGGGAAACTCAGAAGGAGATGACCGACAAGATATCAAGACATGGGTATAGAATAGTAAGTCCAAGGCTGAGATATAAGAAGGAGCTCAAGCTCTTTGTAATTCAATATCATCCACAGTCGATCATCACAGATCAACTAGACCATTCCTTCTTTCTTGTTCATTGTTTTCATTTTCTCAGTCGTTCCTTCTCCCTTACCATAGTCACTCTCTTCTATCACTATGCGTTACTCTCTAGCCGTTCCGGCTTTTGCAGCCCTGGCTGCTGCCCTTCCTGCTCCTCAGCTTATCGACCTTGACATGGTCATCGCACAGCCCGAAATTTCCTACACGACCACCGCTTCAAGCGTCACCTATGATGCTACCTCTATCGCTGCACAGGCTACCGATGATATCACCTCAGTCTCCGTGGACGTCAGCGCTATCGCTACCGCAACCCCTCTTGCAATTGAGAAGCGAGGTGCATGTGCTCCTCAGCCTACTGGAGTCACTGGAGTTTACGGCCCTCCTGCCCAAGCATCCGAGGACACTGTTGGTGCTTTCGCGGCCAATACTGCCTTTGCAGCTGCAGCTTCCAACGCTCCTACTCCTTCTGGCTACTCAAACACCTTCACCAACCTGAACGCATCTAACAATGCCTACGGTTATATGGGATACACTACCCTGGCCAGCTACGACACCGAGAAATGCGCCTCCAAGTGCAATGCCATCAACGGCTGCATGTCTTTCAACTTGTACTTCGAGCGTGACCCATCTGGTAAATACATCTATATGTCCCATCTGTTCGAACTACAGCTAACTTGATGCNNAGTCGACCCTGCTGCTGGTTGCGAGAACCCTACCAGCAACACCATGATCAAGGTGAATATCGTCACTGTGTTTTTCTAGTATGCGTCTGACAACTCGCCANNGTGTGTGTTCTGGGGAGGCCCTGTTTCTTCTTCCAACGCCAACAACTATGGTCAATGGCGCAACAAGTTCCAGGTTGCCATCGCTGGCTCCAATGGTTACACCAACCAGACTCTCGAGGTCCCTGCTGGTTTTGGCAATGTTCAGTACCTCAACAACGCTGCCATCAACGCTCCTCTTGATTACGAAGGTTATGACACTTACATGGGCTCTCGTATCTTCACTGCTGGTCCTTTCAACGCCTCTCTCTGCGCCGCCTTCTGTCAAACCCAGAACACCTACAATATTGCCCACCCTCCCAGCAACGGTGCTCCCGTCAAGATCTGCAACTTCTTCAACACCTACCTGCTTTATGTCAACAAGACCTCCAACATTGAAGGCCAATACTGCGCTCTGTGAGTCTGCCATACCATACTGCACGATCAAGACTGATATCCCATAGTNTACACTGAAGCCTGGGACTCCAGCTACGCTACTAACCAGGGCCAGTACCGTGGAAACGATCGTGAGTCTAGTAATGCTTGTGCTTGATAAGCAACACCTAACATTGGCCAGACNTACATGATTGAGTACTCTTACACCTTCACCAACACTTCCAACCCCGGCTTCAAACCCTCAAAGGGCGACACCAACGGCGTCATTCACCAGGCTTCTATCGACATCAAGTACGCCACTCTCCAGCTCTTCTGCTCCGCAGCTCTCGGATACAGCGATCTTCTTGCTACCGTCACTCCTATGACCTTTGTCACTCCCATGGCCACCAGCACAATCCTGAGCACCACCACAACTACCGCTACTAGCATCAACAAGCGCGCTGCTTTGACCACCACTTCTGCATCTTTGTCAGTTCCCGCTGCTCTGAAGAAGTACCCCTCTTCGATTCTTTCCAGCGCCTGTTCCATGGTGGTCACCCAAGCTACCAGCACCTCCACTTCCACCGCCTCTGTCTTCACCGTCACCGCTGCTACCCAGACCACTCTTGAGACATCGATCCAGACTGTCACTGCCTCTCCTATACCCAGCACCTGTGGCAACAAGGGCATCCAATACGCCTATTACGGTGATAACGCCTACTCTGAGGGTACTAATGTCAACTTTGTGCAGCCTTCGAAGTACGCAAATGTTCAGCCCACCTGGGAGTCTACTACGAGCATGGTTGGTGGCGTCAACGTTCAACCAGGCGCCTCCATGCAGATCTACGACTCAGGACGTTTCGAGAACTCGGAATACTTCATCCTGAATCACCGCGGCTACATTTTCGCTCAGGTGTCGGGCACCTACACCTTTCAAATCGGCAACCCTGATGATATTGTCTTCCTGTGGCTTGGAGAATATGCTCAGAAGGGCTGGAACTCGGGCAATGCCAAGGCTGTTGCCTCCATCGCGAGGGAAACCGGCTATCAAAATTTCGCCTCGACTCAGTACACTCTGGAGGCTGGAGAATACCTCCCTTTCAGAATTCTCTTCGGTCAACAGAATGGCCCGGCNCCTTTTACCTTCTCTATTACTGCTCCTGATGGCACTGTCATTCTGGGCAGCAACACTCCTCAGTCCGACGCTATTGTGCAGTTCTCTTGCGACGGCACTACCGCTCCCCAGTTCCCTGCTTTTGGCCACGAGTAGATCCACATCTGCGCGAAGAGCTGCAACTCCTATCTTACAAGCTTACCTTAATTAGTAATTTCTAGTCATAACTTTTACAACATACAGTGCTTAGAACGCACGTTTCCTTGTCCCTCACCAATCGCTTCCCTTCTCTTTACTTGTTTAATGAGTTTATCAAGTGTGAGTCTCTATCGAATAATCTTCATTAAACAATGGTTGCCGAATGACTTTCAATAAACTTTATTCAAACATCTGGGTCAAACAGAATATGCATAGGCATGTTTCTGAAACAACATATCTGGTGTACCTACTATAGCATTAGTATCGTGTATGCAATTAATCATAGTATCCAACGAAGCTAGATTGATATTACGATGCATATGCTTGACGCAAATCGAGAAGTTACTAATGTGAGCCTCATGGTACTTGGAGCGCACCGTCGTGGAAATCCTCTGCCTGCCATAATGACATCTAGCCTCACTCTATGCTATAGAAATGCACAACTACTTTCTTAACAGGGGTGTCGCCATTGAGACGACTGGATTCAACATTTTTCTCTATGGACATTGCTCTGTTGTGGAAAGTATTGTGCATCTTGATGGTTACACCATAACCGTCTATCGCACACGGGGAGGAAGGAAGCAGGCACACTCGTTATTCCAAACGTCAAGCTCATCATCATTCTTTCCTCCTATACATCGTCCTTTTCGGTAAACCTTTTCAAGTCATCGATGTATCATGACTCTGGTCTTGCATGAGACGAACATTGCAGTTCCGAAATTTGCATGCGGCTCAATCGCCAGCGCGTGTCTCGGGCTTTTCGTTGGCAGATCTCAACCGGTCAACATGGATGGCCCTATTTTACAACAATCTGGCGCCGGAACAATCTATCCCATGCATTAGGGCAGATGGTTTCTTCTCGCCGGATAGCGCAAGTCAAAAAGATGCATACCTGTGCCCTCAAATCAAAACACTCCTTCCTCGACACTCTCGAGCGCGTTAGAATCCTTCGCAAGCTCAGACCCTCATGGACCTGCATTGCATATCGCTCAGCCTCCACGCTTGACACCCAATTCTGATCGCTTCATCTTCTTAATGGGCGACATTCTCACCTCAAAGCTCTAACTGGTTTTCTTGACGGAGTTTTACTGCTTTACCATGGTTTCTCAGGAAGGCATTGAGCTAATCAGGCTTCTAAACAATCACCCCATTGACCCCGAAGTCACGAAAGCAGGATCCAGTGGAGAATCAGTCGCAACATTATCGATGAGAGGCCATGCTTCCGGGTCGCATGAGCCTGCCGCTGCTCCGCCGTATTCGCACAACAACTATGCTACCCAAGATACATCTGTTGGAGTCTCTTCGCCAAATGACCAGCCTTCCCCAAATCAGACAAAGATGCCCTTGCTTACTTCTCGAAGTACCGATTCTTCTGCAAGAGAAGAACATATACAAAAGTTATCTGCCAATGAATCGTCAACTGTTCCGTGGACGCTTCGCCGGATACCACTACTGGCATTAGTCGCATTTCTCGTCGCTCTCATCATTGCACTCGAGGTCCTTCATTTCTTATCGAACAAGAATCAAGGCTTGGTGACCTCAACACAAGATGCGTCGTATCTCTGGAAATACCTCCCAACTGCAAGTAAGTCAATCAGAATCTGACAGGGTCGCGAGAAAACATGAATCGTCGAAGAGCTCAATGTCGGAGAGGCTTTATCACACACTTTCGGGTTCCACGACGCTTCCGCTCTTATCCTTGTCGAACTGAGGACCTCGCTATACTGTACCCTTCGGCGTGGTTCTAATTGTTTATCATANGTACTGACTGCCCTCGCAATCTACTGGAATAAACTCGACTACCATACCAAAGCACTCATGCCATGGAAGCTCATGTCTGAGAAGCCACACTCGGCTGGTGAGAGCCTACTCCTAGACTATGTCTCTGGTAACTTTTTGGCCGTGCTTTCAGGATCTATACGCAACCGACACCTGCCTGTGATTACGTCTACCCTCGGTTCCCTGACCATCATCCTCGTCACCGTATTTTCTACAGGCCTATTCGTCTTATCACCGACTACTATTCACGAGAGTACAACATTATCAGTGCTGAGTACCTTTGATGGAAACAAATTCAACGCTAGCGAGGTCGACAGCTTTCCGGTCCTGGCTGTGTCCAGCATCTTGTCAGGCAACTTGTCAATCGCTTATCCCCCGAGCACAGATTTAGATTACGCTGTGGATACTTTCAGTCTACCTACTGTTCTGAAGGGTGAGTATCCACGCCTGCGTTTAGAAGACCCGACTAACAATACCATAACAGGTCCAGGCGCATCGAAAGCAGCGGTTGTTGAAACATACCGTGCAAATCTGGATTGCAAACTCGGCTCCGTCAACTCGACCTCGGCTACAGTCAGTGTGTACAATTGGATTATCGAAGCTGATGTGATGGACGATGATTGTTCAACTGGTCTGACTCATATTGCGAGTCCTGAGCTATATGAGAGTGGAGAAAGAAAAGTTATGCCGGTTGGCAGAGTGATCGTTAGACAGTGTCCAGGGGCCAGTCAGCCAAAACTTTTCGTCTTCTTCGGCCAGGTCGACGCAGGTGCGCCAAGGGATATGAATGCTAACCACCAAGTGACCGTGTATGCGTTCAATTCTACGGTATTGGTCTGCACGCCGAACCATGCGTTCCGAGAAGCTCTTGTGACAACAGATACCACAGGAGCAGTGATCAGTGTTGAGGTACAGAAGGAGTTGGATAAATCAATCGTATCCCCATGGGATCTTTGGTCGGCTTTCAACACTTCTCTCCAGGCTGCATCACCGACACTGTTAGAAGGACCTTACCTTCGCGAGTATACGCATGGAAGCTACTCATATGACGGGTTCGTGGCAGTGCTCCTGGCGACGTGGTCGCGACGACCAGCAGAATATCTCGACCCCAAGAATCTTATGCAGGACTCGCAACGCTTTTTCACCACGACCGCTGGTCAGATCGCAGACAGGTTTCTAAGAGCAAACTCAACAAACACCGCCACGGGGAGCTACAGAACAACTCAACTTCGAGTCATACTTCCAGATACCGCCCTTCGCATCACCGAAGCTGGACTTGCAATGCTGGTCATATGTGCCTGTCTTTTGGTAATATTCTCTCCCTGCCCACCTTTTTTCGAGNNCGCCGGCACTTCGCTAGCCTCTCTGTCTGTTGTGTTGCATGGAAGTGACCAGCTCAAGACTCGCTTATGTGGTACCGGAGAAATGTCTTTGGGTCATGTCAAAGAATGTCTTTCGGACCGGACGTTCTCTTCAAACAGTCACGGGTCGGGAGAGCCACATTCAATACAGATTCACCAGTCTGAGAATGCTCTGCGATCCTATTCCGCCCTCGCTACAGAGATCACCACGTGGTGGAGGCCGGTAGCATTCTCCATGTCCATGAGGATTGCTGTGATGGTGCTGCCGTTGGCCATTGTCGTTTGTCTCGAAGCGACATACCAGGCTTCTCGCAAGCAACAAGGCCTCGACGACGCACCGTCAAATCGATACTGGCACTACGCATGGACATGGATACCTGCTTCAATGATGACGTTAGTCAGTCTTCTATACTCGTCCGTCACCTGGTCCGTAGCACTTTTGGATCCCTACAGCAAGTTGAGAGCCAGCAGCGTAGCCGCTGAGTATGCTCTGTGTCAAGCCAACTTGTCAAAGGCTCCTGTACAGCTCACTTATCAAGGAATAAGGCTTAGGCGCTACGCTCTCCTCGCAACAGGTATATCGGCACTTCTAGCACCACTTCTGACTATTATTGTCAGCGGCCTCATTCTTCTTCAGCCTGTTCGGAGGATAGAAGATCTGGTTGTTCCTCTTTCTGACCATATCTCGAGCCCCGCGGGACAATATCGTGGCCTTGATGAGTGGAGTCAAGCATCTTTATGGGCCGCCAATCTTCTCTTCCAAGGATACGGTAGCTATCCGCGAGGAACTCACAGAAACTTCATCTTCCCGAACCTGGAGCACTCTTCTGACAACATCACCTTACCCGTTGACAGGAAGCTGCTGAATGCCACTTCTGTCAACGTGGATGTAGGTGTGATCATGTCTAACATCACTTGCAGAGTCATGGATCCGGCTGGCTTCAGGTACACTGTGGGTTTCAATGGCTCCAACGACCCAGACGAAACTACCAAGAGTGGATCATGGTACGGCGGCAGACCGGGAAACTCATTCTTGAACTTCACTCACATTGATCTTGCTCCCTACAAATGTGAAGATCCTGGTCCTCATTGCGAAAAGGGGATCGTGAGTCTTGGGACCGAGCTTGAAGCAAACTCGAGCAGGTTTCACTATCAGCTGATCCCAGATTATCTGAGTATAGAGCCTTGGGCTGATCCTTCGAGTTGGCCGAATGGCGATACGTTGCGGCAAGCTATTGCGCTACGCAACGAAACGGCTTATTTCAGCCCCAACATCACTCTCTTCTATGGACATTGGAATGCCACGACTGCTGCTATCTCTGGAATAAAATGCTACTACGATATGAGACAGGGACGAGCAAACATCACATATGACCTGTCGACGCAGTCTGTGACTTCCGTCTTGCCTTCTGAGCAACAGCTTTCGATCGTATCTGACTTTGCTCGCTGTTTACCCTGGACAGGAGCCACGTCAGATCGCATAGATGCACTCTTGCCCCAAGGAGATTTATGGCAAACAGTACTCAACTCCACCTCCGAAGCTTTCTACGACACACCCGCAGAAGCAGCACAACTAGCCACCCAAACCAGCGACCTCTACAACCACTTTTTCACCCAATTCTACAATACCGCCCTACGCAGTAACAACTTTACTGCCAACACCACACACGCAAACGCCACCCTCTACGATGAAAACTGGCAACGAATACTCCAATCTGCGATCTCGACACGGGTTTTGGAGGCGCTTTTGTTGGCTATGTGGTGTTGTGCCTGTATCGCGTTTTGGACTTTTGATACCAAGAAGCTGTTGCCGAAGAATCCTTGTAGTATTGCTGCTCAAGTGTCTTTGCTTGCGGACTCGAAGTTTTTGGATATGATTCCGGAAGGTGCTGGGGATGCTAGTGTTGAAGAGTTGATGGAGATGACACCATTCAAAGATCATTTGTTTAGTATGGGGTGGCGGACTGACAATGATGGTGAAAGAAGGTTTGGTATTGATGTTGGAATGGCTGAGTTCGATAGAGGTGGTGATGATGAAGAAGAGAAGGAAAAGAGTGGAGATGAGGCTGATGAGGCAGGACATGTGGAGGAGATCACGACTAGCAAGATGGACAATAGGGTCAGTGTCGATATCTTGAGCCTTGGGAGGTAGGACAGAGATAGTGATATACTTCTTATCACAACAAGAACCACAAAGAAGACTGACGGACATTCATTCCTCCGCGTGTGCTCGGTGATGCTATAGAACTGCACAATCTTTTTCAACGAAAAGCGAGATCCACGGAGAGAGCGTTATCTTGAAGCCTCTCTATGGCCACGCCTATATCCAGAAAGCGACTTTGCATTTTGATAGCATATGATAACACTATCTGCACTTTGCAAGTCGTCTGTATACACATCATATTCTAGGCGGCAAATGTGCCGCTGGTCGGCTCCGAGAGATGTTGGCGGCTTGGGATTAGCCGCCGTGATGGTAGATCTGACATTTTTGTCCAATGGTCGCACTGATACCTGCATCGCCAACAATGAAAGTATCAGAAGTGTTTCCAGCCAGCGATTGACAATGAGCATCGTGTCTAAGGTATTTGAAGAGGGTGTGGTGGTGAATCTGGAGGTATAAATGTCCTCAAGACCTGGTCGCACATAGAACATTGCATCCAATCACAACATCTTGTGACGCATGGTCATGCAGACGTGCATTTTCAAGTCGCTCGGACATTTCGCAACTCCAATACGCTGCTTTTTGGGAACAATTACTTGTTTGAAACGACACGAGATTATTATGCAAAAAATTGCGAAATCGAATTTAGAAATACACAAGGCGCTGCTGTTTGCTAACGCCCTCGATGAAAACTCCCACAGGCCGACGATGTACGAAGAAACCCATCCCATAGGAATAAAAGAATTGACGCTATGCTTACTCGCCCTTGAGCTTGTCTTGCTTCACGTTGAAAGCGGTTTCCAGTAGGTCTTGTTCCTCCTTCATGTGGCTGCTCTTGAGACCAGTGGCGACACTGGCGCTGGGGTTTCTACCGGCGTAGAGAACGTGTCTTCTGTTGTGGTGCTCGGTCTCGTTCAACAGTGTCTCGATACGGGGTTGTGTGAAGGTCCATGAACCTGCGTTCAGAGGCTCCTCCTGGGCCCAGACAATGTTCTTGGCGTTGGGGTAGGAGTCGAGGTTCTCCTTGAGCTGAGCCCAGGGGAAGGGGTTGAGCTGCTCAATACGGGTGATGGCGGTGTTGGTGATGCCGTTCTGCTGGCGGTACTTGTGCAGAGCAGCATAGACCTGACCAGTGCAGAGAATGACGCGCTCAATCTCTTCCTTGGGCTGAATCTGGTGCTCACCCTCGGTGTGAGCAGGGTCGGGGATGATCCACTGGAAGTGCGAGTCGCCAGTGAACTCCTCGATGGATGAACGAGCCAGAGGGTGACGGAGAAGCGACTTGGAGAAGAAGAGGATGAGAGCNNTAGGGGACTGTTAGAGCATGTTCATGATCCAGTTTTCAAACAACTTACGCTTTCTGAACTGTCTGTTCATCTGTCTACGGAGAATGTGGAAGAGGTTGGCAGGAGTTGTGCAGTAAGCGATCTGCATGTTGCAGTCCTGGTGTTGGCGGTCGAGCTTGTTGGGAGCAGGGAAGATACGGGGATNCCTAATGTATCGTCAGTGAATGTTCCGCTCTTCAGAAGATAGCTTACTCACCTCGTTACACAGTTGCAAGAATCTTTCCATTCTGCCGGAACTGTGCTCAGGACCCTGACCGTCGTAACCGTGGGGCATGCTCATGACGAGACCAGATCTCTGGAGCCACTTGACCTCGCCAGAGGCGATGAACTGATCAATGATGCATTGTGCGTTGTTGGCAAAGTCACCGAACTGGGCCTCCCACATAACAAGGGCAGAAGGAGAAGAGAGTGAGTAACCGTACTCGAAGCCGAGGACACCGAATTCACTCAAACTCGAGTTGGAAACCACGAAGCTACCCTGGTCCTTGCCGAGGTTCTGAAGAGGGGTGTAGATAGCCTCGCTCTCTTGGTCGTGGACAACTGCGTGTCTCTGAGAGAAGGTACCACGCTCAACATCCTGACCCGAAACTCTGACGTGATGACCCTCCATGCACAAAGAACCAAAGGCAAGGGCCTCAGCAGTGCTCATGTCGATGTTCTTACCATCGTTGACGGTCTTGGTGCGGTTGTTGAGAATACGCTTCAAGTTGCGGTGGACATTGAAACCATCCGGAGGAGTTCCAATCTTGTCACCAATGTGCTTGAGCGTGTCGGCCTCGACGGCAGTGGGGAGATGAGGCAGGACCTCGGTGGCAAGCTCCTTGGGACTCTTGAAACCGTTCCATGCACTGGTCAACCATTCCTTGGCGGTAGGTTGGTAGTCCTTGCTGCGGGCGAACGACTCCTCGAGCATGCCCCAAACCCATTTCTTGTGCTCCTCAACATCGTCCTGAGTGAAGGTCTTGTCCTCGATAAGCTGGTTGATGTACTTGTCGAGAGTAGGCTTCTGCTCGCTGATGCGCTTGTACATCAGAGGCTGAGTGAAAGAAGGTTGGTCAGTCTCGTTGTGACCCTGCTTGCGGTAGCAGACAATGTCAATAACAACATCCTTCTTGAACTCGGCGCGCCAGTCGGCAGCAAGCTGGCAAACAAAGTTGACAGCCTCGACATCATCACCGTTGACGTGGAAGACGGGGGCGTCGATGGCCTTGGCAATGTCGGAACAGTAGGNGGTTGAGCGGGAGAAACGGGGGTCAGTGGTGAAACCAATCTGGTTGTTGACGACAATGTGGATGGTACCACCAGTCTGGTACTGGGGAAGAGCGTAGAAACCCATGGTTTCGTAGACGATACCTTGACCAGCAAAGGCAGCATCACCGTGAAGCAAGACACCCATAGCCGAGTTGGCATCCTTCTCATCGCCGTTGTAGTGGAGAATGGCTCTGGTCTTTCCCAGGACAACGGGGTCCTCGGCTTCCAAATGCGAAGGGTTGGCGACCAGAGACAGCTGCACACGCTTACCAGAAGGAGTGGGACGCTCGAAGTTCATACCGAGATGGTACTTGACATCACCAGAACCCTCGTCAGCAGGCTCAGCAGAACCGGCAAATTCGCTGAAGATGGACTCGTTGGGCTTGCGGACGACGTTAGAAAGGACGTTGAGACGACCACGGTGAGGCATGCCAATGACGATATCCTTGACACCATAGTCAACACTGCGGTCAATCAAGGCCTTCATACCGGGGATCAAAGATTCACCACCCTCGAGACCGAAACGCTTGTCGTTGGGGTACTTTGTGGCAAGGAAGCTCTCGAAGCTGGAACTCCAGATCAGGCGGTCCAGGATGCGTCTCTTCTCGTCGACCGAGTACTTGTAGGGCTGAGGAACCTCGATGCGAGCACGAAGCCAGTCGCATTGCTCACGGTCGGGAATGTGGATGTACTCGATACCGTAGCTACCGCAGTAGAGACGTTCGCATGCGGCAATGATGTCCTTGAGCTTCATCTTGTTCTGGCCTTCTGTGGCGAAGCGAGGCAAGATACCGGGACCAAGACTGAATTCCTGCTCCATGTCGGCCTCGGTGAAGTTGTAGTGCTCGAGGTTTAGCTCGCGAGGGTTGCTGTAGCCGAACTGGCTGGCCTCGTTGCGGATACCAAGAGGGTCGATCTTGGCCTTGTGATGGCCTCTGGCTTGGTATGCACGCACCAAAAGCTGAACCTTGAGATGGTTGGTCAGGTCAGAGCTTTCGCCGACACCGTGGGCAGCATCGGGAGAGAATCCAGGAGCTCCACCTTCGGCAGCGGGAACAATGGTAGGAGGAGGTTGGAAGGCCTGGGACATGGGCATGTCACCCTTCTCCATGTTGCGGAAGTAGACCTGCCATGAGATGTGGACGGACTTGGGGTCGCGCTTCCACTCCATGTACATCTCGTCGATGTAGTTGGCCGTGTTTCCCTGGAGGAACGAGTCGTTGGGGTCCTGTGAGCATGAGTGTCAGTAGAGTGGAGTAAAGTGTGCGGATGCGAAGAAGCATACAACGCCCTTGTTGGTGTCCTCGGCAGCGACAGCATAGTTGCGGAACTGGCTGACAGCAAGGTCTCTCCTTGTCTGGCTCAGAGCAACAACAGGTCTGCTTCTGGCAATGGTGGAGAAGCTAGTACGGCTCCCGGCAGCGGCCAGGCGCTTGCCTGCCTGTGAAAAAGAAGCTCTCAACATGATGAGCGCTCGCCAGTAGGGAATGGAGAGTGCGAGTAACTCTTTACGGGCGGAGGCTTGAGGTATGCGAAGGAAACGGAAGTCGCGAGGCAAGACCCGGCTCTATCCGTCGTCCCCTCGGCTTCAGCCAAAGCCCAAACAACTTTTTCGTAACATCAGCGAGCGTCATATTCTGGACCAAGTGCCGGGTCACTTGGTCAGGTGCATCTTCATTTGTGCTGGCAAGGCATGCGCTGTTTTTGCTGTCCTCAATAGAAGCACCAACAGAACGTATATATCTCATCACCATCAATAAACCTGATTCCAAGAGTCGAACACTTTCAAAGATCGATAAACTTCTTGTCTGGTGGCACCTGCCGAAGCTGTGAAGCTGCGAAGCTGCCCTGGGAGGCCTGGCCGTCTGCGACAAAGTCCCACCCAACTCACACATGAGAATAAGTCGACCACATTAATTACCATCCGATCTACCGACCGACAACTTTACTGCCGTCGCATTCGTTTTGGGTTCAAGTTCATAACAGTAGCGGCCGCAGTAATCCGAGTAAGTCGCCGGGCCTGCAGAGTCGCTGTTGGCGCGCGCTCACGCCGTGAAGCATACGCCGTGTGCCTGTCGCATTCGCAATCGCAAACATGCCTCTCTCCGAGACGGAGCTTACGCTCGTCGAAGCCATGTTCATGAATAAGCATAACGTGAAAGCTGTGCTCCAAGTTCTACCGCATGCCACCGTTTCGACTCTGTACAGGCAGAAGAAGACCTTCGACACCTATGGCTCTATACACAACCCAGAAACCACAAAGAAGAGAAGACTAAGGAAACCCGTCGTAGCTGCTGCAGGAGATGCCTCTCCAACCGAGTCTGAAACTCCTCCGACAAAGGACTCTCTGTCAGAAACAGATCGCACCGTAGAGATGCTGTTCTCGCAAGGCCTTTCCGTTCGCAGTGTGCAAACCTGGTTCCCCAACCGGCCCAAGAGTAGTCTCTATCGCATGCAGAAGAACCTCAAAGTCTATGGCTCCGTCAGAAAGCCAGAGACCATGCACAAAAAGAAAGGGAGACCGTCGGCTGTCACACAGGAGATGAAAGAGTGGTTGATCGAGCTGGTCAAGGACGGTAAAGAGATGTGGCAGAGACATCTTGCCTACGAGCTCTTCACAAAGTTTGGTGTCTTTGTGTCTGCTTCCACCATCTCTCGTCTTCTTAAAGAGCACAACGTTGTCAAAAAGCTGGGTCCTGTGGAGAGTGCAGACACCGAGGCTGCATCAGATGAAGATTCAGATACGCTGACTACTGACCCGACTCTGGATCCTGTACTCCAATGGGCTTGAAACATCTCAAAGTGCCCTTCGAACAGTATAGCCAGTACATCATTGTGGCCTAAGACCAAGTGATGATAGGCTTCACCGTCTCGCCCGTGTGCATCTCGTGGATACCCCTCTCGAACTCCTCTGCTGGCATAAGCTTGACCAGCTTATCGAATGGAAACTTGCCTTCGCGATACCACCCTATCATCTTTGGAATGAACTCGGAAGATATGCTGTTACCCTCGATCGCTCCCATGTATGCCTTACCGCTATTCATGAACAAAAACGCTGGCAACTCAACCTGGAAATCTGGTGGCGTCGATCCAACTTGGATGATCCTGCCACCCTTTCGTGTCATCTCGATAGCAGCTTTGACGAGAACTGGCACACCCGTCGTGTCGATGGTGATCGCAGGACCAGCACCCTCGCAGAGTTCCTGAACCGCCTCGATGACAGTTTTGCCATCTTGGAGCTTTGATGTGTCAACCACATGTGTAGCGCCTAGAGACTTTGCTGTCTCCATACGGTAATCCACACGATCGATTCCGATGATGGTTCTGCAGCCAGATAGCTTTGCTGCCATGATAGCACTCAAGCCAACGCCTCCCAATCCAAGCACCACGATCGAATCTTTGGGCGTAGCCTTCGCGACATTGACCACTGTGCCAGCTCCAGTCTGCAAGCCGCAGCCTAATGGAGCAAAAGCCTGCAATTCTTGCTTACTCTTGACGAGGCTGGTGACATTGACAACGCTGTTTTGCTTCACTACGCTATAGTGAGCAAAGCTGGACTGGCCAAAGAACTTGCCAGCTATCTCCGTCGTATCTGTGGAACTGGCAGATGTGAAGGTAGCCTTGTTGCCAAAGTTCAGCGGCATGCTCTCGTAGCACAGCGATGGCAGGCCGCCTTTGCAAGACTCGCAATTACCGCACCAGTCAAACGACAATAGTACCGCATCTCCTGGTTTTGCAATTGAGACCTTTGAGCCGATGGCCTTGACATAGCCCGATCCNNTTTTGCGAATGTGTTAGCGGTTTGCGCGTATGTGTGTAGGGCTTTTTGCGTTAACTATCTTACCTTCGTGACCCAGGACGCGCGGGTAGTAGAACAGATCTGGGTTTCCGGTGCCTGAACCACACATGATATCTGTATGGCAGATACCACTTGCTACGAGCTCGACAACCAACTCGTCCTCTTTGATCTCTTGCGTGGTGACCTCCTCCATTTTCCAGCCTTTGTTGGCTAGTGTGTCGCGCGCCACTATGGCCTTGCCAGTCCATTGTTTCTTCTGTGCTTCAGCCATTTCCGAGTTTCCTTCTTGCTGGTTTTGGAGATATCTTGATGGAGGATTGTATGTTGTTTGTTGGAGGTTTGTAGTAAGGAGACGTCATTCTTTTGACCTCTGAAGAGCATTGATATGCAGACCCACCTTTTGTGCTTGAATGGGCTATCGCATCAAATTGCGGGGCCAGCGCTGGGTCTCCGAGCTTCTTCGGTATCTGGCTACGGCTTGTCTCGGTGACACCAACACAGAACTTCCACTTTCAAGGCATGCTTTTATGAAAATGTTTCAATATCTTGTTGCTCGATCTATAATATAGCAGCACTGTTTGGATTAAAGTTATCCTGTATCAGTAATGCGATGATTGGTTTTGTAGGTCTGTTGATGGGCTGCGGAGAAACTTGGGGTGCAGTGGCTGCAGCGATCTTTGGTGGAGAATTCTTGTATGGAAAGTGTGGGTTCGGAACGTGATGTGATGACTACGGTTGACAACACGCCTAAGCAATGATAATCACTATTCACTAGGTTCAATGCCGACGAGAACAAAGCTTACGTGGAATGAATTAAAAAAAAGGCCCGGATGGTTCTTCTTTTCGTTCCTCAAAGAACTGCGGAGCTTGCTTGGATCTTTCTAGTCGTCAGAAGGACCAATTACTTTTCCATGGTCATGTCTATCTCGAGGTACATGACTCTTCTGCTGAAACTGAGCTCAGTTTTGATTCAAACGCGCAACACCAGCAGTAACCTTCTCCAACGTCACATCCAACAACCCCAACTCCGCCATCCTCTCATCCTCATCACCCACATCCCNCCAAACACTCTCCAACTCACCAGCAACCTTGCCTTGCCTAAACCTCTCCGAAGCCTCTCTCAACGGCTGCAAAAACGACCCCGCGATATCGTTATTAGAATGCAAATCCCCAATCGCCAATGCCTCGTGTAGATGGTTTGCCGACAAGAGCAAGTAGTAGAAATTCAGGGTTGCGAGGTAGAAGTGCAGGTTTTGTTGGAATGTTGCGAAGGAGTCTGTGATGGAGGTTGTGGTGAGGTCGTGGGTGAGGTCGGGGAAGAGGTAGGGTGCTAGTGTATCCAACGCCACTGGAGTTGCAAAGACGGAGGTTTGCTGTGTGGTTGCTCGAGAGGAGCCGGTGGNGGGATTGGCTTCGATGGTTTCGCCCTTGATCCAGCTTACAGCGGCGGCTTTGAGATTGTCAAAGGGGCAGTGTTCGAGTGTGTCTTTGATAAAGGCAAGACGCTCGACATCTGAAGGGTTGGAGCGCAAGATTGTGGTTGCGAGGTAAAAGGCGTGGTAGCGTATACTCGGCGAAGGCGAGTTTGAAGAGATCAGAGAGAGGTATTGCAGGTATTGATTAAAGTCTTCACTGTCTGTGGGCTCGCCAACGTCGTCTCCTTCGATGGCGAGGATGGCGAGAGCGAGCACCGCATCTAGCACAGCTTCGGGTTCGGTGCCGATGGTTGTGCCCATGTCTGACGAACTTGCAATGTAGTTGTGCAGCACTTTTTGGTGGTCGGGAAAGATGCTGAATGCATCTTTGGGCTTGGGTGTGGAGTAGAGTACAGTAGCCACATTCGCAGCAGCAAACATGAATAGCGAGCCCACCTTTGACAGAGGAATATCCATCGCGGTCTTGGGGAACTCGTCTTCGCTATCGGGGACAAGAGATGAGCCTGGATTGGCGCCCTCCATAGCGGGTAGAAGATCCTTGCGTTCCATGCCGAGATCGCGGGCAAGAGCGACCAAGCTACCCACAGCAGTCAAGCGAGCAGCGAGGTCCTCGTCCAAGATGAACTTGTCGGTCATGGAAGGCTTACCAGGGACGGTGCGCTCAGGGTGTAACTTCTCCTGCAAGCGGCTGCACCAGGCTAGACCGGGCGCATCACTATCTGAAGTCAGGGATAGCACGTAGTCCTCGAAGACATGCGTGATGAATGACTGGAAGAGACGCCTCTGAATCTCAGCCTCGCTAGCGGATGGCGACTTTGCAGCAGCATCAGACTCCGGATCAGGTGCCGATGCTTGCACTGCTTTTGCGCTCAGAAGCTGAGTACTGCTCTTACGAGGAGGCAGATTAGGGCGCTTGGTTCCTGAAACAGTCTTCACGAACTGAATGATCGCTGACATCAACTCTTCCTTGTGCTTTGCTGCATTGTTGAACGACACCAAGATGGCTTGAAGCGAAGTCGACAAGAAGCGACTGGGATACTGTGTCTTTATGCGAGTGTGCAAGACTGACAGCATGGACAACAAGCTGGTAAATTGCAGCACAGGCAGGGGTAAAGGCGCAGGCGTCTCGACTGCCTGTGTAGTCTTGCTGCCATCTTCTCCAACAGGCGCAGTCTTTGCAGGATGGTAAGCTGGTACTGTCTCCTCTCCAGCGATGGGCTCATCATCATCTGTGTCCGGCTCCAGACCCTGGAAGTCGATCAAGCGCAGCGACTCGGTGACCTTCAGAATGACTTCACGAGGGTTTCCCAAACGCGCGATATCCTGAAGGCACTCATCTGAATTTGGCAGCAGAGGCACGAGCAAGTGAACAAGATCCCAACCAATGTTAGTGGTCAACTTGGTGTCTTGCAGTACTTGATGAAGTGTCGGCAGGGACTCCGGGTTGAGGTTGTACTCAATGATGGTAAGATAGCTGAGGTAGTCGGTAGCAGGAGGCAAAGCCTCGATAAGAGGGTTCTTCTCAGTCATAGTTGTATGCTGGTTCGAAGGAAGGATAAATTAAAGCAGAAGATGTGGTCTAGAAAGGGTTGTCCAAAGCTCAGCAGACGCCGAGGTGGAAGTGAATATGGTGGGGTTGGAACTTGGCGGGTCGTGCCAGATGCTTGTTGTCATGCAATTTTGGGAAACGATCGGCGTTTTCACCTTCACCGCGTCCGCTGGAGCCAATTCCGAAACGTGAAAAGGCTATCTGTGAGACCTTGACTGCTTCAGCATACAGCTTTCGAAACAGGCTGACCGTGGGCGAAGAACTTATGGACAACGTGCAAGTCCTTTGAAAAGTGTCTTGCATACCTGCTCTTTGTGCGCTTATGTCTGAGTGGTGGAGTGTTGTGTTGTGCCATTCAGACTCAAATCACCTTGCATATTTGTGAAAGAACGATGAGAAGTATTTGTAGAGCGACCCTATCTTTCTGTGCGGATGTAGCAAGATATAAGCCCTACAGGTATATTGATTTGAGACTAGACTGGAAGCGCCTCTGGCAGAGGAGGGTGTGCGATAAGTTTCAGCAGCCATGTTGAAAGACGGGCGCTTGAGCAGGTAGATCGACGCAGACACATGCTGCTCAGCAACTTGACTTATCATGGTCTGAGCTCTCAGTGACTCTCTGCAGACCAGAAATATTTCTTACTCCAACGTCAGTCCAGAGAATATGATGGCTCCCTTGGTCACCGATAGTGATGCTAAGTGATGTTCAGTCATTGGAAAGTGGCTGGGAAGAGGCTGTTACAGGAAAGAAATGACAGCACTATGAGGGCATGAAAGACGCGGTTGAGCATCCACCCGACCCGTCTTCATGTCCGAACGAGGCCGAGCAGATGGGGCATGTCAGACAATATGGTCCTATGAAAAGGCTCGGGTAGATGGTAGATTGATAAGTCGAGGAACTCGATGATCCGATCAAAAGCTATGATTGGCTCTGTTGGCCGAGAAACGATTTGAAGGAGCGCGATCTCGGACACGCGAAAGCGTAACGCGTCAACAAAGGGCTCAGTTAAGGAGATACCCGTCTACCCTATGTGCAATGGAAGATTGTTATTGTGAATGAACAATATTTGGTGGGAAGACAATTGGAAGTCAGAGAAGGATGGATATCGCATCTACTGTGACTTGCGATCAAGTCTTCGAGCAATAGATCGGGTTTTGACCTGAACAAAATCAATGAAGCCGATCTGTCTGCATTGACGATGACGCGCGACCTGTTTTTTGTCACGTTCTCTTGGCAGCCACATAGCTCTAAACGCGTGTGGGACCCGCGCCGGGAACTTCTATATAATTGAGAACGCGTCTCGTCCTTCCTCCCACTCACACACCAACTTACATCAAGCATCTTCTCCTCGACGCAGCATCAATTGATCTGCTTATTCGTTTAGTTGCTTCTCTACACACATCTCCATCATCATGTCCGCGCCGCTGATCACCCCCTCAAAGAAGGTGAGAATTCTCTTTGTCCTCGAAACACCTGAGCCAATTTTGCTAACGCGTCTTTGCAGNGCCGCCGAGGCCCTCGAGAGCTTCAACATCGAGTCACCCATGAAGCAACCCGTCTTCACCGCTGCATCGGAAGAGAAGGAGAACATTTTTTCCGACGAGGTCGCTGTCCCCGTCAAGGGTATTCCCATGGCCGACGACCTTCCCGAGATCGAGGAAGCAAAGCCCAGTGCTGCTCCTGGCATCAAGGGCGACGAGGTCAACGAGCCCATCCTACAAGAGAACCCCAACAGATTCGTCCTCTTCCCTATCAAGTACCACGAGGTAAGTTCACTCAATTGACGCGTCCTTGACGCGTCGTGTACCACTCAACACGTATACTGATCATTGATACATAGNATCTGGAACATGTACAAGAAGGCCGAAGCCTCTTTCTGGACCGCCGAGGAGATTGATCTCTCTAAGGATCTTCACGACTGGAACAGACGCCTCAACGACGACGAGCGTTTCTTCATCTCTCACGTCCTCGCCTTCTTCGCTGCCTCTGATGGCATCGTCAACGAGAACCTCGTCGAGCGCTTCAGCTCCGAGGTCCAGATTCCCGAGGCCAGATGCTTCTACGGCTTCCAGATCATGATGGAGAACATCCACTCCGAGACCTACTCATTGCTCATCGACACATACATCAGCGAACCCAAGCAGCGCACCTACCTCTTCAACGCCATTGACAACATCCCTTGCATCAAGAGAAAGGCCGACTGGGCCCTCAAGTGGATCTGCGACAAGGACTCGACCTTTGGCTGCCGCTTGATCGCCTTTGCCGCCGTCGAGGGTATCTTCTTCTCAGGCTCCTTTGCTTCCATCTTCTGGCTCAAGAAGCGTGGTCTCATGCCTGGCCTCACCTTCTCCAACGAGCTCATCTCTCGTGACGAGGGTATGCACACCGACTTCGCCTGCTTGCTCCACTCGCACCTCAAGAACAAGCCTTCTGCCGAGCTCGTCCGCGAGATCATCACCGAGGCTGTCGCCATCGAGCAGGAGTTCCTGTCTGATGCCCTGCCCTGTGCTCTCCTCGGCATGAACGCCAAGCTCATGTGTCAATACATCGAGTTCGTCGCCGACCGTCTGCTTCTCGCTCTTGGCGAGTCTAAGATCTACCATGCCACCAACCCCTTCGACTTCATGGAGAACATCTCGCTGNNAGCTGGCAAGACCAACTTCTTCGAGAAGAGAGTTGGTGACTACCAGAAGGCCGGTGTCATGAACAGCACAAAGAAGGAGGAGAGCAAGACGACTGCTGGCCTGGCCGCCACTGTCAGTGGTGACTTTGCCTTTGACGAGGACTTCTAGTCTGGTCGTCGAAGAAGGAGTATCAGAATCATTGTATGGGCAGGCGTTTATTCACGGTTATTGCAGCGGCTGCATAATGTGGCGTTCTGGGTAATGGGCATATCCTGGGATGAGTTTTTTTGGGTTGGGTAAAGGCTTTGTTCGACTCAATTTGGCAAAGACGACGACCTGTCGGTCGCGTGGCTATTATGTAGTATAGTAAATCAATTCGAAAGACGATAACATCAAACACCTTCTGTCTCTGCCTCGCCAGTAATAAATCGCCTTGGACCGTGAGGCCGTATGGGATACGCTGTGTCTCGCACTGGCCAAGAATAGCATGACGTAGGGGTGCGGACAGTCGCGGACGGACGAGGAGCGTTGTCAACCGAGATGGGCGCTGTGGATGTTGATTATCGATGATGGTACACAGCCAATCTTTTGCGCCATAACAATGACCTCTTTCACAACATTACAGCCCAGGCTATCAGCACTCGTTATCCATCCCTATCAATATCGCATATGGCCGACATTCCTGCCATTCGTGTGACGGATCCGCAGAGCCGGGATACCGTACCAGAGAGCATAGGACCAAACAGGAGCGAAGGATTCGACCATGCTGCGGGCAGCAGAAGCGCATCGCTAAAAGAGGGTAGGCCATCAGAAGGAGAAAGAGGTCCACGAAGGAACAACAAACAAGCCCAAGGCTGACAGGAGGCGGCGTCCNNAGGCAGCAGACCAAACACATCTGGAGGTCTCCCAAACCCTGGCAAACTGCTCCGTTCATTGTCGGGGACCTTGTCGAATCAAGAAGAGCCCGTCACAAACGACAGAGATCCCTTGTCGCAGGTGAGAGATTGCGCTGTTTACGTGTGGAATGTCGACTGATGGTGTATCTAGCACCTGTTCCGCCGCGTGCGACCAACGTCATCTGGTGCGAGTGTACCNCCTGAAGATCGATCCGACGACAATGCCATTTCCAGATCAAACACTTCTCTGAGTTCTACGGGTCGTGAGAAGAAGTGGGTTTTTGGATACTACGTGCTGCTGTCGAGAGCGATTGGACTGACGCCGGCTCAACAGNNGAAGGGCGCCTCATTCCTTGGACGATTGCTAGGAAACAAGAAGAAAGAGGCCGACGACAATGTCATTGACGACGCTGCATCCGAGTTCAGTAACCTGCGACCCGAAGGCATGGAGGCCAACGTCTTCTCCCAGCCCATTGACAATATCGAGTTTAACCCACGACATCCGCCGCCTCCCGAGTACATCAGAGTCAGAGCGCGCGATAAGAAGGAGAAGGACTTTGACCATTTGTTCTTGGCCCAAGAACTCTTGTCTTCGAACATCCATCATGACGAGACACCGATATGGGCGATGCAGTTCAGCAGGGATGGGAGATATCTTGCTGCGGCAGGACAAGACAAGGTCATTCGTATCTGGGAGGTCATCAAGACACCAGAGGATCGCAAGTCACATGCTGAAGAATCCGACATTAACCATCGTCCTCGTTTGAGCGCTCCGGTCTTCCGTCAAGAGCCAGTTAGAGAGTATGAGGGCCACACATCGACCATCCTGGACTTGAGCTGGAGCAAGAACAATTTCCTTCTTTCCTCGTCTATGGACAAGAATGTGCGGTTATGGCATGTCAGCAGGGATGAGTGCCTTTGCACTTTCAAGCACAGTGATTTTGTCACGTCGATCGCTTTTCATCCCAAAGACGATCGCTTCTTCCTGGCCGGCTCTCTGGACTCAAAGTTGAGATTGTGGAGTATTCCTGACAAGACAGTCGCTTACTGGAGCCAGTTGCCAGATATGATTACGGCGGTCGCTTTCACACCGGATGGAAAATATGCAATGGCTGGGTGTTTTACTGGTCTTTGCATGTTCTACGAGACTGAAGGGCTCAAGTATCAGACCCAGATTCACGCTCGTTCTAGGAACGGCAAGAACGCCAAGGGCAGCAAGATTACTGGAATACAGTCATTCCATGCTAGTGGAGAGACCAAAGTGCTCATCAGCAGTAACGACTCTCGGATACGATTATACAACTTCCGGGACAAGAGCATGGAGATCAAATTTAAGGGCAACATCAACGACAGCAGTCAGATCCGAGCGGCAATCAGCGACGATGCAAAGTACATTTTCTGCGGCAGCGAAGACCACAAAGTCTACATCTGGCCCACACATCCTGGCAGCAGCGACAAGAAGCAAAAGCGGCCGATGGAGACCTTTGACGCCAGCAACACAGTAGTCACCTGCGTCGCCTTTGCTCCCCCAAAGAGCAAGCAACTGCTAGGCAGATCAGAAGACCCCATCTACGATCTCTGCAACCCACCCCCAGTAATGCTGATGAGCTCCGCCGAGCGCACCGGCTCACGACCACCTTCGCGCGCACCCACCGAAGACGGTCTCGACCCAGACACGCAACTCCACAAGCGCCCCGACGAATCTCCTGCCTATGTCGCGCGCTCCACCCACGCCACAGGAAACATCATCGTGACCGCCGACCTGGCCGGCAGAATCAAAGTCTTCCGCCAGGACTGCGCGTACAATAAGCGCAAAACCGACAACTGGGACACCTCTTCAGTGTTTTCGAAGCGCAAGCTCGGGCGCACTGCAAGTATAGCCACCAAAGGCAGTAGTCGAAGCCTGCGCTCCTCGCATGGACGCCTTGAAGGCCCTGCAGACAGAATCCTAAGCTGGCGACAGGGGATCTCAGGGAATGGTGGCAACACAACCAATGGATCTATCCGCAGCAACTCGCCGCGAAAAAGCACTGCATCCACTCAACCCCAACGATCAGAGTCCAAAACTTCAATGGCNACCTCCCCTCCCCCAGCACCACCAAAAAGCGAAGACAACGATGACACCGACCCTCTATTTCTTCAAGGCGATCAAAGCATGCTATACTGGAAACTGGCCTTGAATTCTGCTCGCAACCATCAACAACCTTCCCCACCTTCACCACAAAAAGCCTCTTCTGTCCCTCGCAACACCAATCTAGCACTCCCACACCCTCTTCAACGCAACCATACTGCTGTATCTAAATTGTCGATTGAGCAGGACAGTGCTGCGAGCAGTGATTCAGACGCAGAAAGTTTCAAAGATGCGGTGCAAGGGCTTGATGAAGAAATCCACTGTAAACACTGCGGAGGCGCGGAGTTTCATGTCAAGAGTTCGAAAAATGGGGCCACGAAGTTGTGTTGTTCGAAATGTGGCGCTGCTGCTTGAGAGATGCTTTGTCTTTGGGGGTCTTTTTTGGGGGGGATTTGTGGTTGGTTTGCGGATATGGGGTGGGCGGTTCTTTTGGATGTAACAGAGGTTAGAGGCAGGTTTATACCACCATCAAGGGGAATGTGTTTATCCTGTCTCTTTTCTTTCGATGCATTGCGTCTTGCAGAGTGAGCACCCCGACACAAAACACATGAAAGATCTCATGGGTCAAATAGGGGTCTGGCAAGTCATTCTCGGCCGAGCAGAATGCAAATCCTCGAGATTGAAATCAATGTATAAACACCAAGTGCAGAAATTCAATATTCGTGACGAGGTATCAAGAAACATGAACCAAGAAACAAACGCCCAAAGCAAGAACCATCATTCATGCTGCCATGTTCATCCTAGACACCCCTATAATGCCATTCTGCCATGTAGTAGCTCCCCTTGCCTTGCCAAATCCTTGTTTCTGCATGTTTTCCTTTAGTCAGAAACAACCCCATTCTTCCTCCTCGACTTCAAAAGCCCACCCAGCAACCCATCAAGTTCGACCTGCAAACCCGCCAACGTTCTACTCTCATTCTTGAACAAATCAACCATCAAAGGATGGCTCCTATCCACAGGCTTCACAGCAGTTTTATCATGGATAATGACTAGCATATCCCTGACATCGTTTTCTGCTCCGTCCAGCCAAGCGCGTAGACTAGCATCTGACCACAGTTGTGAGTGGGCTGTCGATGCAGGGGATGGAGCCGAGGCAGGTGAGGTTGAAGAGGTATTGGATGGTGTGGTGGAGGAGGCACGGTGAGGGGGTGATGGCGCACGGCGGTGGGGAGGTAGGTTTTGGGGTGTGGAAACTGTGCTGACGCGTTTTGAAGCTAGAGGAGTGGTTTCGTCGTCGTCTGTGGTGGATGAAGTTGAAGGTACATGTTGAGTGTGTTTTTCGGATTGGGTGCGAGGGTTTCCATCCAGAGAGGCTTTGGGTGTGCCGATTATACTTGGTGAACTGGTGCGTTGTGAGCTTTGCTCGCCGCCTCTTTCTTCGGTCGCATCGTCTGGCGATGAAGAGTCGTCTCCGAGGTTTATAGGAATATGCACCATCTCAGTGCCATGCATGAATGCGTCACTAGGGCCATCCTCATACTCCTTAGCTTGGTTCTCCTTGTGTTCCTCGTCATCACTAATCTCATCGAAATCGTCAAGTTCCACTCGAGCCTTGGCCTTCTTCACCTTGACCTTCTGTGGCTTGATGTTTTCTTGAGGATCCGAGTGTCGTATCTTGTTCGTGATTGACGAAAGCATATGCGAGCCAAGCAGAGTTTCGCTGGGGATTCTTTGCTCTTGCTGGCGCAAGTCAACATTGCGTTGTGGAGGAGTGTCAACAATCGATCCCTCGAGCTCGGCAACGAATTCTGAGGATGGTTGTTCGTCTTGCCGACGTTGTAAGGTAGGTGCGGCAGACGACAATTGAAGAGGAGCGGGAGTCGCGACAGGAGCAAGGATAGGAGCAGGAGCTGGTGCCGGTGCTGATTTTGGTGCAGGAGTGAAGGCCAGAGGAGCGACAGGAGCGACATTGGCTCCCCCGACCTGCGGTTTCTGTAACTTGCCCTTAGATTTGGGTTCCGTGGCCGCAAACTGGGTAGAGCGCTCGATGGGCGATCCTTTGTTAGAGTCGGACGACGTGGATTGCCTAGCAAGCTCACTTGACAACTTTTCAATGTCACTGTCCTCGTCAACCGAATTCTTGTTTCGCTTGTCCTTCTTCTTGCTCTTGAACAGACCGCTAAGCATGCCTGGCTTCTTTTCCTTCTTTTTCTTGTCGTCTTTGGACTTTTCTGGCGGAGAAGCCGTCTTTTCAAGGCCTTCCATGCTGGAGCTGGTACTTTCCAGGGATCGACTTCCGTTACTGTTGTCCCGCAGTAAATTAGGTGTGAGAGAGATTTTGAGAGGTTCTGCCCCGTCGTCTTTGAGGAAAGAATCGGCATTTCGTGGTGTCCCCTTTCTGGATGACTTGAGCGGTGCTGCTTCTGNTGACCAAGTCAGTATGGCGTGGATGGGTTCAAAGAAGCTGTGAACGATACCTGTTTTGTCAACCAAAGTGGGACTACTAAGCGGTTCTTCAACAGGAGCTTTGATGTCTTTGCCCGGACTCGCCAAATCAGGGCTGTCGGCCCTGGCAACCTCGACCACAGTCGTATTAATGTCTGATGACTTTTCTTCGGCAGATTTGGAGTCTTCGTGCTGATCTTGTTGATTGCCATTACCGTATAGAGGTTCGGGCATCATAGCATCCTCTTCATCAGACGAGTAGTCGTAGTCGGACGCTTCAACATAGGTAGGGGCGGTGAATTGTACCGTCTTTGCCTTGCGTCGCTTCATAGCCTTTTTCAGTGGGTTTTNTGAGTCATTGGCAGTGTCTCCGAGCATTGCAGCAGATAGCTTTTTACTCATGTCAGTAAAAATCTGTGTAGCAGTGATCGAGATGCTCACATCAACATTTCTGTGCTTGTTCAGACGCGCCAGGCGTTCTGTCGGAGTTTCGATGTGTTCGGCAGGGAGATAACCTANTAAATTGTTAGCTCAGTTCAGGTAGTTGTCGCATGACACAGCAAACATACCAATGCTATTGTCCTTTACGATTCTAACCAGCCACCAGTAGCTGTTGCTATCATCAAGTAGGACCATGGTGTCACCCTTTCCGGCATTGGCCTGGCCTTCGACCGTGGCTACGAAGGTGTGCAGAGCGTAGACGAAGTCGAAATCGATGTCCTCTGTTTCACGTAAGCATTCGCCGCCCCAACCAGAATCAACAAAGCGTTCATCAGAATAAAAGGAAATATCCAGGTCATCATCATCATCATGTTTGTTTTGTGCTTCCAGGTCTTCCAAGATTGAAGTATCAGAGGCGTCGCTCACGGTGCTCCAAGAGGAAGGCGATGCAGTCCTTGAGGTAGCTGTCAAGCCGGGTGACGGTCTCCCATCGTAAAGATACAAACCGTCCATGTCCGATACATCTTCGTCGTCCTCCTCGGGTATCGCTGTAAGGTCCTCGACGGATCTACCATGCGAGAAATTGTATTCCAGATACTCATTTTGTGACCTCAATGGCTCTTGGTCCAGGTCGTCGTGACATTCATTCGTCCATTGATCGTGGTCGTGGTCCTTGTTTTTGTCGTTGTCGTCGAGATACCCACCATGATACTCACCAGTATGATGATGACGTCCGGAGAGAGGGGAAGCCGGCAGTGGTAAATGCTTTGGGGAAAGCATAAAGGAGAAGACGANCTGCAGAGACGAGGCAGGCGAAGCTGTCGAGGCTGCAGCCGGCATGATGTGCAGAGGAAAGTGTGTAGGAGTAAGAACAAAGGGTGACGAGTCGGGAGAGTCAATTGCCGCACAGTTGAGTGTTTGGCGGGGAGGCGTTAAAGAGGAAGAGCGGCATGGCCAAGGGTTTGCAGCAACAGCAGAGTACGCACCATCGTCGATAGAGGGAGAGCTGGAAATGCGATCGTCGAGCATGTCGTCGTCCAGCTCAGAGTCGTCGGTCGAGTCGCCGTTTTCATGATTGTGGGCTTGTAGTTGGTCGTCGGTCAACTCATTGACTTCCAAGTCATTGTGAGCGCGACTCCAAGCATCATGCAGATGTTCCTCCTCTTCGTGTCTTTCTTCGCGAACATGACGGATTTCCAAGGCCTGGTGTTTGCCGACGTCTGAAGGTTGGAGCGAGGTCGAGTGGTGGTCTTGGGTGGTAGGGGCGTCTTGGTTTTGGAGATCGATTGTGTCTGGCACGATTAGTTATAAGGTGGATTGACCTTCAGATTGTCGAGACTCACCAGCTCTAACGAGTCCGGGGCGCGTCATGATTGTTGATGAAGAGTCGACCAGGAGGACAGCAGCTACAACTGCGACGGCGGCGGTGGTGGGATCAAAGATCAATGAATATGAGCATTGCGCGGTTCGCAGGCAAACAGAAGGGTGGTCGTAGTGTCGATCGTGTCGCGAGTTGATGGGCTGGGTCACAAAACTAAAGTCGGATAGGCGTCGTGATAAGTCGTTGCGTCTTTAGAAATCTGGGTTGATGTTTCCAACGGTTCCCGGCGTTCAAACAATCTTCATTATTGTCGTGTCAGCGTGAAGGGGAAGTCGGCATTTGCTACTCTACACTCTGCAACAGATCCGCAACAAGAAGAGTATGAATTGATGGCTTGTCACAACCCGCGACAACAGGGGTCGCACCGCACAGACGAGCCTACTCGACTAGTCTCAGATTTGCCGGCTGCTGCAATGCACATCAATCATCATCCGAGAGGTTAGTCCTCGATCAATATGCATCAATACAGGACCTGCTCTTGATCTGCCGTGCCCTACTTCAACACAATACACCAATCATGTCTTTTTGAATCACCAACATTGTTTTCGACAATGTAGACTTGATTCGATACTTCTCACGAAATTCAGCTCTGGCCTTGGATCGAGAGCCAGCCACCTCCCAAGCCACAGCTAAAGTGGCACCCGTAACGCCCCGCAATCCAATATTCCGTCCAACAACCAATTCAATCCACCACTTCGTTGATATCGTACAAGACATAAAATGCTTCCTTGGCCTCTTTGTGCATAACTCACCCGACAGCAGCTCAGCTTGCTCCAGTCCCGGCTCGTTGTATGCCCCCAGCCATTTCCTTTCGCTTGACCAGCAGACTTTTCACCGCTCCCAACCACCGAGCCAGCCCATCGTCATCTGGTGCACACATGCGGTAGTTGCGCTCTTCGGTAATAAGCTGCATGCAGAACTGCTTGCTTCTGCTGATAGGGTTGATTTCGACGGCATCGATAATGTTGTGGAATGGGATGAGCAGCACCACTGCATACTCTTCTTCGTTCTTGTACAGGGCCAACGACTTTGGTCTCAAGACCATCCATGACTTTTTCCATTGTCGCACCCCTGACTTTGACTTGAGCATGTATATCCACCCTTGACAGATGACTCTTTCTTCGTCTTGTTTCACTGTTTGTATGCCTGAGGTTTGACTAACATTGCGTGGTGCCAGAGGGGTGCGCGTGTTGGCACCGTAGATGGCATTGGCACCAGCCGACGTTGGCATTTGCTGTGATTGATTCTCTGCCAAGGTAAGTGATAGGGATGACATGCGAGCCGAAGGGCCTTGGGAATCTGAAAAGTCGGAATATGAAGCGTTCTCAGGGCCAGAGTAGTCGAGCGTGTGCGAGGGTCTGCGTTTGCTATGCAACGCCTGTCTGGGCCGACGTATCGGAGGGTTGTAGATGGGAGTGTCTGCTTCCGAGGAACTATAGCCTTGGGGAATGTCCTGATTGAAGGTATGATCCGTGTGCCTCTCAAAGCCGCGGTAGGTGCTTTTCGCACCGCCAGGGCTGGCCAAGACTATCTCTTCCTCATTCTGATCAATGCGAGCCTCACGCCTGATGAGCTGGACCCAATCTTGAGCGTCCTGGTCCGAGGCGGCCTCCAGGTGGTAGTTCCTCGAAGGGGAGAAGAGGGCAAAGACATGCTTGGCCTTGCCTTTCGGATCCTTTTGGCGGGCAATAGCAGTGAGATCAGAAAGGGTGATTTGATGACGGAGATTCGACTCGGTCTTGTCGCGGTATATGGAGAGAAGATTGGGCCTCAATACAATGTAGATGGACTTCCATGACTTGATCTTGCGGGTCCGCTTCGAGACTTGGCCGGCCTTGATGATGCGATCGAATTCGAAACTGCCATTCTGATTGACGGGCGAGAAGGTGTCGAGAGTGAGTTGGCCTCCACGGAGGTTTTGGACCGACGAGGGCAGAAATTGGGGATTCGGAGGGGTGATCTTGATCTTGTTGGATTGCGTGTCGATTGGACGAGGGGTAGCGTGATGATGCGGCAGTTGCGACATGACGGCGGCCATTGCGAGTCTGGCGATGGAGACGATGCGGCGAGGGTCACATATGTGAAGAGTCGGAAAGGATAAACACGGCGGTCAAGAAGGCTGGGCGAATGAGGCAGGCACAATAATAATAAATAAAGCAGACGAGGAAGTCGCTCTCGGGAATGAGAGGCCCACCAAGCCGATCGACGGTGACGTCCTTCTTGCAGTACTGAAGAAAGCTTCAATTGCCAAATGTCGGGAGCAATCAAAGCTGCACTTTACAATAACATTTGTGCTGAGTCTATTTCTCCCGCTTGTTGCTATTGTATCGACATTACCACGCCAACACTTTGCCTGCCTCATCTCGCCTGTCGCCTGCTCCCGCCGTCAGAGCGCATCCTGAAAACCCCTCCAAATCGAGGATCGTCATTAGCCAAAGCCCAAAAATATCCAAACATATTTTCCACCGGATCTAGGAGATACCACCCGTCCGTCGCATTCACGTCTCGCCATGCCTGTCGTGCCGCCCGAGAAGCTCATCAAGCTTCAGCATGCCGCCGATGGCATTCGAAACATTTGCATTCTCGCCCACGTCGACCATGGCAAGACGTCGCTATCGGATGCCCTCATCGCCACAAATGGAATCATCTCACCAAAGCTGGCTGGTAGGATCCGCTACCTCGACTCGCGCCCCGATGAACAGCTCAGAGGAATCACCATGGAGTCTTCGGCCATCTCCTTGTACTTTTCGCTGTTGAAACGCTCTCAGCCAGACACCCAACCCGAGCAGAAAGAATACCTTATCAACCTCATAGACTCTCCCGGCCACATAGACTTCAGCAGTGAGGTGTCCACTGCTTCGAGACTGTGCGATGGTGCTGTTGTGCTGGTAGACGCCATCGAGGGTGTCTGTAGTCAAACTGTCACCGTCTTGCGACAATGTTGGAACGAGAAGCTCAAGCCTTTGCTTGTCATCAACAAGATGGATCGTCTGATCACCGAATGGAAGATGGGTCCTCACGAGGCCTACATACACTTGAACAAGACCATCGAGCAAGTGAACGCTGTCATGGGTAGCTTTTTCCAAGGTGAGCGTATGGAGGACGACTTGCGCTGGCGCGAGAGGGTCGAAGAGCGTGTGAGCGCAAAGTCCACAAAGGACACTGTCGTCGATGATGATTCGAATCTCTCCACCTCTGATGTCCCTGCCGAATATGAGGAGAAGAGTGACGAGCACATTTACTTTGCTCCCGAGAACAACAATGTCATCTTTAGTAGTGCCATCGACGGATGGGCTTTTACTCCTCGCCAGTTCGCTGCTATTTACGACAAGAAACTTGGTATGAAGCGCGAGATTCTGGAGAAGACCCTCTGGGGCGACTTCTACCTTGATCCCAAGACTAAACGTGTGCTTGGAAGCAAGCACTTGAAGGGCAGAAACTTGAAGCCCATGTTTGTCCAGCTGGTTCTCGAGCCCATCTGGGCCGTCTATGAAGCCACCACTGGCGGAGATCACGGAAAGNNGGGTATGTTGCTATACCTGTCTATTCACTATGCGAGTCCATCGACTAACCTGACCAGTGACCCGGCTCTCCTCGAGAAGATCACAAAGTCCTTGAACCTTACCATTCCCCAACACATCAAGCGCTCACGCGACCCTCGTGCCTTACTAACAACAGTCTTTGCAAGTTGGCTCCCCCTATCTACAGCTCTTCTCGTGTCGGTAATCGAACATTTGCCTTCTCCTGTCAATGCTCAAGCAGCTCGTATTCCACCTCTTCTTGAGGCGTCACCGGGCGCTGATCATATCGATCCAAAGGTAACTACTGCCATGACAGAATCTAGAAAATCGACAGAGGAACCTGTTGTCGCGTATGTCAGCAAGATGGTATCAGTGCCCGAGAGTGAACTTCCCATCAACAAGCGACGTGGTGGTGCACTCACTGCAGAGGAAGCTCGCGAATTGGGTCGCAAGAAGAGAGCCGAAATTGCCAAGGCACAAGCCCTTGCGAATGGCGAGAATGCAGATGTCGACGATATGGCCGACGCTCTTAGCACAGTGGCTATTGGGGAGGATGATGACACCGACTCCGCGCCCCAAGGTGAAGAAGCAGAGCAAGAAGACAAAGAACATCTCATCGGTTTTGCACGTCTGTATTCTGGCACCTTGACTGTCGGTCAGGAGGTCTATGTCCTTCCGCCCAAGTTTACTCCCGCCAACCCGAGAGCCGCTCCCGAGCCCAAAAAGGTCACAATCACTGCTTTGTATCTTCTCATGGGTCGCAGTTTGGAGGCTCTCAACTCTGTTCCTGCAGGCTCCGTTGTCGGTATCGGTGGTCTTGAGGGTGCTATCCTGAAGTCGGGCACTCTCTGTTCTCAGCTCGAAGGCGCACCCAATCTCTCGTCATCGTCCGCCATCAGCACTAACGCTCCCATTGTCCGCGTTGCAGTCGAGCCCGCGTGGCCGGCAGACTTGGACAAGATGGTCAAGGGTCTACGTCTGCTCGAACAGGCCGACCCTGCAGTCTTGTACGAACAACTCGAGAGTGGTGAGCACGTTATTCTCACTGCTGGTGAGTTACATCTGGAACGTTGCTTGAAGGATCTACGTGAACGTTTCGCCAAATGCGACGTTCAAGCTGGAGAAGTCATTGTGCCCTACAGAGAAGGCATCACCAACTATGTCGCCTCGTCGACGACGGAAAACAGAGAAGAAATGAACCCGCCCAAATATCCTGAGCTAGGAAGAGGTAGAGTCGACGTTGTTACCACTAGTAAGCAGATTACAGTGCGTCTGAGTGTACGACCTCTACCTGAAACAGTCACGCACTTCCTCGTCAAGAACACGGCTGCAGTCAAGAGGCTGTATTCCGAGAAGAAGGCAGTGCAACAAGATACACCTGTTGTTACCGAGGATGCCGAGGGACATGAAACTGAACATGAAGCCGGCAATGATGTCGGCACTGTCGAGTTAGGTCGAACACTGTCCATGGATGAATTCAAGGCTCAACTAAGTTCAGCATTTGCTGAAATCAAGGGTGAGAGCGAGATCTGGCAGGATGCAGTCGAAAAGATCACAGCGTTCGGACCTCGCAGGGTAGGGCCCAATGTTCTGATCGATGCCACGCAAGGAGGTATCTGCGGCAGNATTGTAAGTGTTGAACCAGACTCCGTCATGGGACCAGAAATGCTAACAATGTATAGCCTACGCGATGTGCAAGAGGACAACAACGACACCAACGACGGAGATGTCCGACCAGACCAACTACGCGCTCAAGACTTTGTCGACAAAATTACCTACGCCTTCCAGCTAGCCACAAACCAAGGCCCTCTCTGCAACGAACCCATGCAAGGCGTCGCAGTCTTCATCGAAGACATCACCATCAACAAGACCGACGACGAGCAACAAAATATGGGCCGTCTAACCGGCGAAGTCATCAAATCCACTCGCGACAGCATCCGCAATGGTTTCCTGGACTGGTCACCCCGTCTCCTTCTCGCCATGTACAGTTGCGAAATCCAAGCGTCAGCAGAAGTCCTAGGTCGCGTCTACGCAGTCATAACCCGCCGCCGTGGCCACATCATCTCTGAATCCCTCCTCGAACCCTCTCCAAACTTTACTATTGTAGCTCTATTGCCAGTAGCAGAAAGTTTTGGCTTTTCGGACGAAATTCGCAAACGCACTTCTGGTGCCGCTAGCCCTCAGTTGGTGTTTGAAGGCTTTGAGATGCTGGATGAAGATCCCTTCTGGGTTCCTAGGACTGAAGAGGAAATTGAGGATTTGGGAGAAAAGGGTGATAGAGAAAATGTTGCTAAACGATACGTCGACACGGTTCGAGAGCGCAAAGGGCTGTTTGTGCAGAGGAAGGTTGTTGAGCATGGAGAGAAGCAAAAGACACTGAAGCGGTAGATAGTGTGTAGTGCAGTGCAGATGAGCAAACATAACCTTTTCGGATATGAGTAGATGTTTGCTGATAAACTCTGAGTCTGTATTGCTGTTTCATCCATCCGGCCTCTACAGGTTTTTCAGTGGGTAGATGCAGAGATGACTTTATAATATTGTATAAAGACACTGGAATAGCAAACGCATCAAGACTGTATGATTTACAGTACTGTGTTCACTATACTAGCAGACTTATAGCTTTTCTCTTTTCTCTTTTTCTCTTTTCTCTTTTCTCTTTTCTCTTTTCTCTTTTCTCTTTTTTCTTTTTTCTTTCTCTGATTTTTTCCTTCTTTTTCTCATGTTGTATATAAGACCCTGGTCGTATAAACCTTTTCTGTTCTAGTCCCTCGCGTAGTCATTATACATGTCTGGAATAGAGCATAGACTACTTAAGAATAGTACTTGACATACTTGCCCATACTTCTAAGTAGCAATGTACATACTATGGTAGATCTACATTAGCTAAATCTTACCTATTAGAAGATGTAAGGAATGATCGAGTCATCATTAATACATACCCCCTTCCATTGTACACTAGGTCTTCGCCTGATTATTAGTAGCATCAATAACATGTGTTCTACTCTATTTAGTTATAGAATGTTCCAAGTAGTAAGATGGACAGATATAACATACAAGAGTAGGTATAGCGTGTATTGCACAACTATCAAATGTTAACAAGCCCGATCTAATGAGCTTGTAGAACGGATACAGAGAACTAGAGGAACAGATACGGTACGTACCCGAGACTTTGTCTATAAGCTAACTGTTCTTGTGGTCTTTCTTTTGCATTCCAAACATTCCGTAACATGTTGTCAAAAGATGGTCTTCACCACCTCCTCTGCACTGCGTTGAGCAATTCCTGCAGTGCTCTTGAATCTTCATCATCGCAGTCGGGTTGATGTACAATATCCTCCTCGTCATCTTCCCAATCATTGTAGGCTTTTTTCGAATTGTCGGCTCGTAGCCAGTTATCTGGACCCGTGCCTCGATCGAGAAACTGATATCGCGCTGCCACCAAGGTACTCGTCAAGGCATCCGCTTCGTCGTATGCGACATGCTCGTCCCAATTTCCGTGGCCAAAAGCAAAATGCTGGAGTCTAGGTAAACCTTTCTGCAAGCGAGCGAATACGTGGTGCCAGCGTATAGACCAAAGCCATGTTTGCTTGGTGAATGTTCGTGATGGCTGGTATGAGGGACGTCCGTTGAGGGTCTGCAGCGGCGAATAGATGACACGGCGACCATCAAGGTCGATGCCTTCCTCGTAGAACTTTGCGCCGATACCTACCATCGCATCATCCAGGATCAATTCTTCGAGCGTTTCTTTGTGGCTAAGGATCCAGTCGATTTGATCATTGTTTGCAAAGCTCATGTTTCCGACAATCAAGGTGTGCAATTTTGGCAGTGTTGGCAGATTGCACTGGGGTAACATGCCAAAGTACATGTTGTTTGCATAGAGCTTGAAGTAAGTGAGGTTCTCGGCCATAGGCGCGATTCAGTAGGTCTGTAGTTCATGACCAAAGAAATTATGGCTCTCGTGAATATCCAACAAGTTTTCTGGTGCAGCACTGTCGTACTCTGTGACAACCTCGAGGCTGTAATGGGTGATACGTGACACGACCTGCTCAAAGTCTGCTTTGAATCTTGAGTCCTCATCTTCGGCGTTATCGATCAGAGCTTGCGGAGTATAGTCCTGCAAGTTCTTGATGCTCAGGTTGTAGACCTTGTTGGCAGAATGTTCGCGATGGTTGAGACCAGCATAAAAGGAACTCAAAACCTGTTCCCTGAATTCCATGGTTTCTACTCCCTCGTCCTCATGGTCCCATGACGGACCGAAGCACTCGGCTGAAAACACTAGCTCCACATGTGTAAGATTGGGAAACCGACCGACTTGCTCTAAAGCTTCCAAAAAGAATTGATGGGGCTCTTCATAGTCATCTCCGGGGCCAGGTTCATGACTGGCCCAAGGTGATGTGCTACTCGCAGGCTCCATCCTCGTCTGGAAGACAATCTTTTGCACCTGCTGAGACAGATTAGGTGTGGCGAGAGTACCGCTGTAGTGTACAGCAGATTGCTCTGTTGGCAGAAGCCGCACACAACGATATAAGTGTGTTTCGCATACACGAGAAAAGTGTCTAGAGATCAGGCGCAAACTGCGCAAGCTAGAAACGTCTGGACGCGGAATCATGGCAAGCATACCATGCTGACGACTCAGGCTCGAAGATGGCGGATCATTGGAGATAATATGTTTGTCGTTGCAGTCGTGGCTGATGGACTCATCTTCACCAGGGTCGGTCTCAAGATTGTCACCGATAGCAACAAGATCGACTATTCGAGAAAGCAGTTCCGGCGGAAGTCGAAGTAGTCCAGTCATAACTGGAAAAGACGTCGAGCGAAAGATGAAAGCCAAAGTCAGTATGTATCGGCGAGAGGAACAGAAAGAGCGATTGCGGAGAACAAGGCGATGGTGGGGTGGTGATGGTAGAAGTAACCCGAACTGATGTTCTCACAACAAGTCGGGTAGGTGAGCATTATTGTCATATGCTTGATCTAGTTGCACCTTCCCGTGAACTCCGGACCGTTGTTGGACAAGGCATATTGGACTTCTCATGCTCTAGCTGTTGCAGGGTTGACCCTGTTCTCGCTCTGTACAAAGCCATATAGAAGTGCCTCCCTCAACCTGTATCAATTGAGCTTTCTTTCCCTTGCTTCATCTCGAGATGGCTGCTTTGTAGTACACAATCATCTACCCATCACGATCTTTCACCTCCTTACTCCTTTACATGCCGCAAGATGGCAATAGTAAGCCACTTCTTCCGCTCCGTAACATTCTCTCTTCCTCCATCTTTTTCCTTGACCCACTCTCTTCTAACACCTTCAGCGTCTTCCTCGTAGATCTCCTGTACCTCGAGTCCCTTCTCAGCAGCTACATCAAAGAAAGCCGCCAGCTTTGCTCGTCCAGTATGAAAACCGCCAATAGCCAAGACTCGCGCATCCGGCGAATCAGAGAGAAAGTGCAACATTGACGCGGCCAAGTTTTCGTGTTCCCAGGGCATCCAGAAGCAATCTGCTGCTAGCACGCGGCTGAATTTGCGTGCGTGGGAGACGGCAAAGGCAGAGGAGAAGTCGCCCCATGCGTGGCCTTGGACTGTTGCTTTGGAGGCCAGTGCTTCTGGTAGATTGTGCTTTACATTGCGGGAAAGGTTGTCGAGAACCACTTGAGCTGGGTAGTCTGTAATACACACGTCGTTTGCGCCGGCAAGAGTGCTGGTGATGCCAACTAATCCCACGCCNNTGTTGATTGCGTATATCATCCATCAGTTCCTTGCTCTTGTTGTAGTTGTTGATGGGGAAAGTCATCCCGCACCTGCACCGAGTTCGAGCACCGAGTGGTTTTGTACACTCCATTGCTTCTTTTCTTGGTCGTTGAGCAATCGCTGGCCACTGACGCGCTCGGCCATCAAGATGCCGGCATTCCAGAGGTAGTGACTGAATAGCGTTCGTTCTTCCTCGCCGTTGGGGTCGGCAGTTGTCAAGGAGAGGTCGCCAAAGCGGTCGGACTTGTAGACGATTATGGAGCCCGGGTCGCCGTGTTGGTTGCGCAGGTCGTCTGTGAAGAGGAAGCCGGGAGCCGAGGCAAAGATGTCTTCGGGAGAGTCTTCCTCTGTAGTAGGGATCTCTCGTATCAATTCTGTGAGGCTGAGCATGGTGTGTAGTGCAAGAGGTGGTTTGTTTCTTTCGTTTGTGTGTTTGACTTTTGGCGGATCCGGTCGTCCCTCTGTTTGGACAGCCCCGCAATTGACCCCCACCCGAGGCTCTGTGGACTATGGGAGATATATATAATCTGCATGACTGCTACTTGAATTTACCGGTATACCATTCCCAGCTTTTCAACCATCTCGCTTGACTATATTGCGCAGCATTGCTACTCGCATTCTAAGCACAACCCCATCGCCTCAAACCCACCAATGTTCACCCTCATCAGCGCCACACCCTCNCCCTACGCCCGCAAAGTCCGCATCGCCCTCGCCGAAAAGAACATCCCCTTCACCCTCCAAACAGAAGTCCCCTGGGACTCAACTACCGCCACACCAGCCTACAACCCTCTCGAAAAACTCCCCGTCCTCATCCTCGACGATGGCAAATCCGCCGTATACGAATCACACTACATACTCGAATGGCTAGAAGCAAAGTATCCTGACACTTCGCTGTTGCCAGACACCAAAGATGTGGATAAGAGGTTGTTTGCGAGGAAGATAGAGGTCGTGTGTGATGGGATTTGCGATGCGTTGGTGTTGGCGTTTTTCGAGAAGATGAGGGAGGAGGACAGAAGAAGTCAACCGTGGATAGACAGACAGATGAGAAAAGTGGATGGTGGGCTAAAGGCATTGGGGCAATGGGCAGAGAACAAAGAGGGAGAGTTTCTCGTGGGAGATAAGTTTGGGTTGGCGGACATTGCTGTTGGATCTGTTTGTGGTTATTTGGCTGTAAGGTGGCCGGACAATGGTTGGCAAGACACTTATCCGGCTTTGAAGAAACATTGGCAGATGCTGGAAGAGAGACCCAGCTTCCGAGACACGAAACCGAGTCCGCAGACCATGAAGGACAAGGTGGTTTGATATGGCATGATTGTTGGGTATTATTTCATCTATCAAATCAAGCGTCGGCCTTGCGCTTCTTTCCTCTTCTCTTTCTGCTTCCACCGGATGTGTCTTCGTTGTCTTGGGCAGGTGCCTCCTCACCCAAGAACTCCTTGAAACCACCAGTGAAGCCTTCTTCGTTGCCAAATGTTTCTTTGCGCCATTGTCGTAGACGAGCCTTCTTGCCGAGCTTCTTCTTGTCCTTCTTCTTCTTGTCCTCGTCACGCCATGTAGCCAACTTCTTGAGGCCGGCATATTCATTCAGTGCAGTATCGTCGGCAANGAGAATATCGCGCGCCGTCAAGCCGAACGATGTTGGCGACGTCTCGCGGTAGCGGAACCCAGCAGTCTTTGTCGATGTGGGAAGGTCACCAGTCAGGTCTGCATCCACGAGCTCTTCGATGGCCATGCGTTCCTTGCGGGCAACGCGTCTCTTGTCTGCAGCCTCCTTGAGTCGATCTTTTTTNNTCGTCTTGCGTTTGACACCATCGGGAGCAATGATGTTGTCATCGTCGTTTTCCTCAGCCTCCTCTTCCTCGTCTTCATCTGGCCCAGCCAACTCACCCCTGAGCTTGGCCGCCTCTGCCTCCTCATCAAATTCGGGCACGAGGTCGTTGATGTCGATATCATCGTCCCACTTCGGCTTATGAGGCTTCTTTGACGTGTCTGCTTCCTCCTCATCCTCGCCGTCCTCAACGATAGCTTCCTTGTCGGCATAGTAGTTGTCGCCAAAACGACGCTTCATCTCTTGTTCCCATTGATCATCATCCCAGTCCTCGTCCAGCACTTGCTTCCAGTCTGCAAGATCGAGCGCCTGGTTCTTGAGACCAGCAGCCTCCTTAATCTTTTTGACCTTCTCTTCAACCTCATCAATCTTGAGCTTTCTGAGTCTGGCCTTCTCTTCTGTGCGTTCGCGCTTCTCGGCTTCCTTCTTCTCGCGTTCCTTTTCACGCTGCTTCTTTCTGCCACTCTTCTCCTCTCTGCGAGCACTCAACTTGGCGACATCACGAGAGAAGGTCATGAGCTTCTCATTGGCCTTGGTGGGATCCTCGAAGCGCATGTTATAGGCGTCCTCAAACATTTCGGCACGTCTCTCGTCTTCAGAGTCGTCTGAATCGAAAGCATCGAAGCGTGACTTCTCGTCAGCAACCCATGCACGGGATTGGATGAAGTTGGATANAAAGGTCTCGGGGTCCTTGTCGGCAACCTGGATGTCGCGTTCGGTGATCTGGGGGCGGGCGGTAGTGTTGGCAGCTTGAGCAGGAGCTTGGCCAGGCTTTCTAACAAGAAAGTCGTCTTCGTCGTCGGCTTGATCATCAGCAGTGGCGTGCATTTGGTTGATCAGGTCGTCCTTGAGGGCTTGTTGCTCTTGAGCATACGTCTGGGGAGGGGCGTCTTCTTCTTCATCAACCTGGGCGTTGCCGTTCAAGAGATTCTGACGATGGTAGTCGGCCAAGTACAGGGGCTTTTCCTTCTTGCTTCCGTCTTCGTTGGCTTGGTCGGCTTCGAATGGAGTGTAAAAGGTAACGTTGGGGTCGTATACGCGCGGGTCCTTTTTCTTGATGGCGTTGAGAGTAGCGAAGATTTCATCGTCCAGGTCGGCAGTGGCCAGCTCGGCGGCATCGTCTTCATCTTCGTCGGTAGACTCGTCGTCGTCAGAGTCTTCGTCCTTGTACTTTTCCTCGACTGCATCATGTTAGTGATTGAAGGACAGTGGAGAGAGCGAGGTGATCTTACGTCTTTGCTTCTCCTCACGCTTCTTATTGTGCTCGAAGCGTTTGGCAAACTCCTCGTTGATGGTGAGGTTGACGGCTTCGTCTTCGGAAACGGCATCTCCGTCGAAGAGCTTTGTGCGCTTGGTTGGGGGCTCTTCGGCAGGCGCGACGGCCTTGTTCTTCATCTTGCGAGGCATGTTGGCGACAATGGTTGGACTGAGAAAAAGCAGAATGTTGCAGCTGACGGCGACATAGAATTTGCCAGGGTCTTTGTCGATGGAAATATGCAGTCACGCCAGTCTGGAGACTACGCGTAGGCAGAGAAAGAGGGTCTGAGCACTCCCGAGCGGCAGCAGGCGCCGCTCCGCATTTGAAACGTAACCGGCGCCGGCGGCAGGAACGAGGGTCCTTGTTGCCAACGCGACTCGCACTTGCTGCTTGAGGCTGAGCGAATGCGAGTGACGCTGTCGTCAATCAAACACCCGTGCCCGCTGCCTTGTTTCAACAATCTGTTCCAGTCTTGTACCGTAGCCGGCGTCCAATCTAGCATAGCCGACGCCGTATTGCAATACGCTTGCTCTTCAAAAGACACACCCTTGTCCCGACCGCGTCCGTCCCATGATCTCGTGCCTTGTCGATTGAGCCGTCCGCCATGGCCACCCCAGACGATGCTGGCAACGGCCTTCAACCCAGTCTACAACCTGTCGGCCGCCCACTGGACCTCGTGCCTGTCCAGCTCAAAGAAGCCGCCTTAGATTCGCCCACCTTCCGCGCTGTTGCCGTCCACTATGCCAACCAGGTCGAGGGTGTCGAAAAATGGCTCCGCGACTATGTGAAGCAGAGCCAGAAGTTTGCCGACCGCTTCGCCAGTATCCAGAAAGAGTTCGACAACTTCGATCACTTCCCGCCTCCACCCCCAGAGAACCTCAGTCAGGCTGTCCTGGACCATGATTACACCTTGCTGGCCATCACCCGCTACAGCCAAAACACTACCCAATACTTGAATTGGGTCTTTACCAATGTCGCCCGCTCACGCCAAACCATGATCGATCCATTGTTGCGCTTCATCGACGGCACCGACAGCCCTCTTCGTCAGTTCAACCAAGCTCGCAAGGCTCTAGAAAGAACCCAGGCCATATTCGATGCCGAAATGACCAGATACCTTGCTCAAGCAAAGACAAAGGAAGCCTCATCGTTACGCGAGGATGCTTTCAAGCTGCACGAGGATCGCAAGGCCTATCTTAGAGCTTCCATGGACTACTGTATCATGGCTCCTAACCTTCGCAACTCGCTTGACCAATTGCTCATCAAGGTCTTCTCTGACCGCTGGAAGGACTTTCGTGGCTACCGTGACGCTACATCTGCCAACTTTCAGAAATGGGGCTCCGAATTAGAGCGCATCCGTGGTTGGAGCAAGGTCATGCACGAGTCCGAGTCGGCCTTCAAACGCGAATTGATGCTCGCCCGTCGTCAGCTTGAGGACTCGGCCGAGACCAAAGCCCGACCGTCGCGTGAGATGGATGATTATGCCGTATCTACCGTGCCATATTTAGGCTCTGGTGCTCCCACTTCACCCGTTAAACCTGCCTATACGAAGCCTGAAAAACAAGGCTGGTTGTTTCTCAAGACCGTACCTCCCAAACCAGCCAGGCCATCGTGGTCACGACGTTGGTTTATTGTCAAGAACGGCATCTTCGGTTGGCTGGTCCAAGGTAGTGTTTCGGGCGGCGTCGAGGAGAGTGAAAAAATCGGTGTTTTGCTCTGCAGTGTTCGTCCCGCCGTGCAGGAAGAGCGTAGATTCTGTTTTGAAATCAAGACCAAGGATACGAGTATCATCCTGCAGGCTGAAACCCAAGGAGAACTGTTGGAGTGGATCAATGCGTTCGAGAGTGCAAAGCGTAAAGCTCTCGAAGAACCTCGAGGCAACTCTTCTGTACCGATGCCTGGATCTGACCCTGCCTTTGCCATCAGCCCACCTGTTGATCCATCTTTTGCTGCCAAGTTGACTGATAGCTTGGCTCACTCGACTGACGAGTTCGGTGCATCCTTGTCTCCGCCCGAGATGGCTCTGGCTAGCAGGAGCAGCTTCGACGTCAATCCTTCAAGGAGATCAACCATGTTGGACTCTGAGGGCACCCGCGATACTGCCAACAGGATTATCCAGAAGCTCGACTTGCACAGGAGAGGTACGGCATTATCCTCTGCAAGTCAACCTACTCCAGCTGGCGGTATAGCTAGTTTGCTTTCGGCCAGCCATAGCGTTCTACCTATCGGTCCTGGCCCGGCTCAAACCTCACCCAACCTGGGACAACACCATCGCTCCTTCACCATGCCCGCTACAAGCAACTTTGCTCCTGTCACACTTGCAAATCCTCCGGCCCCCACCAATCTCAGTAGAAGAGCCGTGGCAGTAAGCGGTCAACGTGCTTCGAGCGGTAGATCTGATACCTCAGCCATGCCTAGCAGTCTAATGGCGAATCTCTGGGGCTCCACCAATTGGGTCAACATCAATCGCCTGGGTCGTGACGAACCCAAGCTCGAATCGATATCGAGACCCGCGACAAAGTCCACGGGTCAATACCATGACGATATGGCCATCATGGAGGGTATGGAACCAGCCAAGGACCTGAAAATGGCTGAAGTTGAGTCCAACATGACTACAAGTCGCATCACGCACCGTAAGACCATTAGTTTATGCGATACCCTCGATTCGCCGTCACAATCTCGACTGCCGATCGTCCCTGTCGATGAACGTCAAACAGACTATCCAGTATCTCTAAAGACGGATGATGTACTTGTGCTCAAGGAACATGACGCAGAATTTCACGTTCTGTTTTCGTCCGTCCCACGTTCTGAAAAGGTGGTCCTCGTCTTCACCGCAATGTGGAATCCAAACGAGCAACAAGAGTTCCCAGGTCGTATCTACGTGACTACTGAAAAGATTTACTTCTACAGTAATCACTTTGGAATGGTTCTCGTAGCCGAAATCAGCCTATCGTCAATCACAGAGGTCACCGCTGCTCCAGGTCGAGAGAGTGAATGCGATTATCTATTTTTACATCTCAAGGAAAGCAAGACAGACTTCAGACGTGTCACTGTCAAAACCTTCTTGGATGCATTGAGACCACTGCAGCGCAGACTTGACTACCTTGTACAGTCCGCAAACTCTGAACATCACACCTCGTTGGAAGATGTCTTTGCGTCATTCTCAAGAATAGCGACAGAAGATTCACAAGACAATGCACAAGACTGGGACGAGGACTTGCACTCTCCTACAGATAGTGATCTAAGGGTCACGAGAAATCGTTCAAGAGATCTTAGAGCAAACCTGCGCATCGACGGAACATTGTACGGTGAATCGGTAGCACGGACAGGCAGAGAAGTCACCAAGTTCAAGCTGCCTTCCCAACCTGTACTGTACAGGCCAAAGGACATGGGAGACGCTGTCCTTGCTCAAGACTTCAATCTTAGCGCTAAGGCTCTATTACATGTTATGTTTGGAGACAGGAGTGCAGTCTTCCAGATGTTGTACAAGAACCGGCCGATTAACAGTGAGTCAACTCAGCGTGACATACTTGATTTGTGCTAACTATTACANGACATTCTTCTGACTCCCTGGACGCAGCCAAAAGATGGACAACTCTCGAGGCAACTGATTTGCGCCATCGGTCCGAATCAAGAGACAGACAGACAAACGCTAGACGTGTGCAACGACCACCTCTGCTATGTCGTGACTCAAACACAATCACCTTGGCAACTGCCAATGTCCAAAAACTTCCTCTTGCTCAGCAAGTTCGTCATAACTCACTCGGCGAAGTCCAAATGCAAGCTTGCCATATTCAACAAAGTGGTATGGAATGGAGATGCTGGGCCCGATCAGCGACTGTCATTGTCGCAGCGCCTAGTACAAAAGCAAGCTCTGCGTGACTACCAAGACGACGCTGTCGATCTAGCTGCTGTGATTACAGATCAAGTATCGAAGCTCGGCGCACACAGTACAAACAGAGCTGCACAAATCTTTGGCTCCGTCGGCCAAAGCACACAGACGAGCCAGGTTTCAGCATCGAATCTCCCAACCACTTCAGTCAATCGCACAAGACGAAAGGTCAAGATTCGCACTCTTACCAACCTGTATACTGACGAAGTGCTCGCTCAAGCATTCCGCCTGTTCACAATGTTGATCGATCTGTTCATTGCGATTGCAAAGTCTCTCGCAGGTGTCGTAACGGCACACAAAATTCTTGTACTGGTTCTCGCCTTCAGCGCTGCGTACAATGCTTGGTATGGATACCGAGACGGGCTTGCATGGTACGACGAACGCAATGCTGGCAAATTCATGGCGCGACTTGGTGTGAAACCCGACCCCACTGTCACAAGAGCGGTCTACCTGGATGACATTGACGAGCTCGTGGCCCCGACTTTGATGAGCACTATCGGACTGAACTCTACGATGTCGGACGAGGCCAATCAAGCCTGGAACACGTGCCATGGTACTTTCCGCGACATGCTTGCTTCCTCTGAACCTGAAGCACCCGTCACAATTTCTAAGGGCTCAAGCAAGCGTTCGCAGCAAAGGCTACAGCGCACGCGACACNNTCTCGCGCGCTACCGACACGATTTGCTGGTGGCGCTTCGGGTCGTCAACCGTGTCGAAGAAGAGGTGGTCCATGCCGAATGGGAAGACTGGGTGTTTGAAGAGGAAAGAAAGTGCACCAAGGTTGAAAGCATGATGAATTCGCGCAAGGCAGGCGGTGGACAGTCCGCAAAACCAGAAGCGCAGCGCGATGAGCACAGCGACGACCTGGGCAATGGGTTCGCAGAGTATTGCCGCAGCTGCAAGAGCGAAGCCAGACAAATCTTGTCAGGCAAGTGACATGTTTGCTGCTTCTACTGTTGGGACAAGGTGTATATTATCACTATAACAAGCATTTCCCACCGTGCCAGCCAGCAGTGTTTTGAATGTCATTCTCAAGTTGAAGTTATTGTTCTCCGGCTTGTGCGATGAAGCATGTCACTGCCGCTCTGCAAGAATGCGCAATTGATTGGGAATGTCGAACACGTGTGTAGCAGGAAGGGTTGCGATCCTGCCACAATATCCGGCATCGCTCAACTCCGCGCACTCTACAACTGGACGGAAGATAAGGGTACAATTGCACCCTTAATTGTGGTGGTCACAGCATGTCACCGATTGGCTGTGGGGGTCTGATGTGATTTTTCGTCTCCCCAGTGTGGGGGGGGGGCGGAACGAAGTTGTCATTCCTGGCGTTTGATTGGCTGTGGCGAGGTCAATCTTGCCTAGTACAGATCTGATAAAACAAGTACGCATCTTCCTTCTCGAAGGATGGGTCTTTTCTCGCCCAGACATACAATTACAACAAGGAACGAATATTACTGCTGAACATCAATCATCTTTGTGAACTGGACATCAAAACCACAAAACATACAAATATCCTCATAACATATTCCTTTACGCGGACCGCGCAAAAGGACGGGAAATGTCGAAATGGCCACAAACGACAAACAAATACACAACAGCATCCAGGACGCCAACGCCAGAAGATGATATCTCTAGCTCACCACCATCTGTCATCCCTTCCGACATGGAAAAACAACAGATTGAAAAGAACATTCGCCCGGACAAGGTTTCTGCATTTAAGGGCCTAGGATGGCTAGATCGCTTTCTGGCAGTGTGGATCTTGCTTGCCATGGCCATAGGAATTTTGCTAGGAAACTTTGTACCGCAGACGGGAGAAGTGTTGCAGAAAGGACAGTTTGTGGGTGTGAGTGCGCCGATTGGTGAGTTTGCAAGGCTCTTAGAAGTTGATGGGAAGGAGGCGATGACTGACGACAAAACAGCGGTGGGGTTGTTGGTTATGATGTATCCCATCTTGTGCAAAGTGCAATATGAAACCTTGCATCTTGCCTTCAAGACACGCGAACTCTGGATCCAAGTCGGCTTTAGCATTATTGTTAATTGGTTGATTGCGCCATTCCTGATGCTTGGACTTTCTTGGGCATTTCTTCCTGACGAGAAAGGGTTGAGAGAAGGACTCATCCTTGTGGGAGTAGCGAGGTGTATTGCCATGGTGTTGATCTGGACGGGTCTTGCTGGAGGAGATTCACAGGTGAGTTTTTGCTTCCCTTGCAAATCCTGGCCTTTTTGCTGATGTCGAGGGAANCAGTATTGCGCCATCCTCGTCGCCATAAACTCCATCCTGCAAATGGTGCTTTTTGCGCCTCTGGCCATTCTCTTTATCAACACCGTCAGTGACCCCGATACAATAATCGAAGTCAAGTATAGCACTGTGGCCACCAGTGTAGCTGCTTTCTTGGGGATTCCNCTGGCTGCTGCCATCATCACTCGCTTTGCCATCCGCAAATTCTCGGCTCAGTGGTACGACACGGTCTTCCTCAAGTGGGTGGCACCATGGAGTCTTATCGGCCTCCTCTACACCATCATCGTGCTCTTCGCATCCCAAGGCCACCGCGTAGTGCACCAAATCGTCTCTGTTGTCCGCGTCGCCGCACCCCTCATCGTCTACTTCTTCGTCATCTTCAGTCTCACCCTTTACGTCACGCATAAACTGGGCTTTGGGTACAAGTTATCCACAACACAAGCTTTTACGGCCGCGAGCAATAACTTTGAATTGGCGATTGCGGTGGCGACGGCGACGTATGGGGCTGATAGTGATCAAGCGCTGGCAGCGACGGTGGGGCCGTTGATTGAGGTGCCGGTGTTGCTTGGGTTGGTGTATGTGGTGCGTTGGATTGGGAATCGGCGGCAGTGGAAGGCGTGAGAAAAAGCTGTAATGAATATGAAATGCCTGGGGGTTCTTTTCTTTTGGCGCGTCGGAACTCTTTGACAATGGTATATTGTACTTGCATATTCTATGCGCTATCTATCATCTGAGGTGGCCTCTTGTCGATGTACCAGGTCTGTTAGTCTGCTCTACGATTATTTTCTCTCGTGTCGTATGCGCCAAATACCACATCAATAGCCACCTTCCTTGCTAATCCACCATCCCAGGTGACCCCTTCGTCAAACCCTTACAACTAGCAACTTCGTCTCGCGCCAAGGATAGGATGCATGGCACCACTGCAGATCCCCTTGCATCCTTCACAGCCAACAACCCCATCTCATGAAGACACAGCTACACATCGCAGAACACCGTTGTTTCTTCCTCTTCTCTACAACCTTTTCTTGAAAAAGCACATCACAGGTTCCTGTAGGAGGCGACTTGCTTTCCATTACGTATATTCCCTCAGCAAAAGCAGCATAAAATGCAAATTCACAGTGACAAGCAAAGCAACGTGCAAACGAGCGTCACAAGTACATCTCTCCAGTTCCTTGACCCTGACACCCTACTCTCTGCTCTACTAACAATTTATCCTCGACAGCATACAACGAACCAGACCCGAGCTTTTTTGGAAGCGACTAGCCATGACGATGGTTTTTCAAGCACCTATCATGGCTCTAGGGTTGGTGCTTTTAGACTGGTATAATGGGAATCATAATCTCTCATTCACGCCACAGGACATTGCTCGATCGTTTCTGTGGTTCGGGGCGACGAATTTGTGTGCTGGGATGGCTATCAAGGTAGTTGGTGTTCGGGGCCTTCCTTAGAGGAGGGGTCTTAAGGTGGATGTGTCAGGTAGGAGGGTTTGGAGATGTTTACGATACGTGACGAATGTATGAATGTCTTGTGTATGTACTCAATCGAAATATCTGGGTTTTAATAGATAGCAGGTGCAGGTGCTAAAATGAGTCGGCTAGCTAAATGAGCCACACTCGAGAATACCAGATCTGTGTGCTAGAGTGTCGGAATACTACTCCATCACATTTAAGTTGGGACGGATTTGAACCGCTACTCGAGATTCGCCGACCATATATCAACTCCGGGATCAGCAGTCCAGACCTTGACGGGGACAACCCCTCAGCACGAGGTATGACTTGGTCATTGCGTGTCAGAGACTTAAAACTCCATTGTGGATACTATGAGATAGCTAGAGAATATCGCTTTTCACTATTGGCAGAGGAAGTACGATCCAACTCCGGACTCGTCAATGGTTGACCCTCCAAAGTCACATGTTTCTCGACGAGATCGAGGTTGTAACTAGCTACGGCTACGGAACAGTCACTCGAGTAACACAGCTCGAGACGTCCTATTGTATAACTCCCATCAATCTCTACTTCCTGTCTGAATCTTAGATTATTGTTGAACAGGCCCATCTCATCCAAGAAAGCTCCTCAAGGAGTACAGAGTGTAGTCCCTTAGTATGGGGAACTATTGTCCGAACATAATCCTAGACGGAAGTCAAATCGAGACTGCTCACCAAACCACCATTATCGTAATTTTCGTTGCCGTAACCATTGCTTGCTTCCTTTTTACCTTCGATTCCATCCTGAATGGTCTGACAAGCAGTGGTGATCCTGTAAAGCAATCAGCCTCACTGTCAGCCAGTCACCCCACTACAATGATACAAATCACAAAACTCTGACAAGAGACTTACCCATAAGCAACGGCAATACCGCATGAGTTCACGGTCGCCCATTTCACAGTCTTCCAGGTATAAGTCAGCGTGACTTTGACGAATCCGCCATTGACATCCTGCAGTCCTGTTCTTTGCAGCACCTGTTTCTTGCCCAGTTTCTCGGCTCCATAGCCTAGTCCTGTGCAGAGGGCGCTGGCGACTGAGCCGAGAGTAAAGGTATATGCCTGATGCCACTGTCAGATCACACCACCGCGTTCGTACCGATGTCGCGCTGCATAACATACAAAAGGAGCTGAATTATAACCTCTGCAGAGCCAGGTGGGAGGGTCGCCATCTCTGGCTTCGAGATTGTTGTCGCTGGCCGAGCGACTGACGATGTGATGGGCTTCTTCCCAAGAGAGACCAGCTCTCTCGAGTAGGTTGTGGTGCATGTCGTTCCAATCTTCGGGTTCGAAGGTGAAGAGCTCTTGATAGGTGTTGTTTTGGTCGTCTTGCCATGTTTGCTCGGGAAGAGCGTTGGGGTGTCCGGCTTCGATGAAAGCATCGAGGATATGCTGGTTTGTGATGTCTGCCGCAAGGGAACTGGTATTGCGGCGAACAAGATGATCCGAAGGTTGAAGAGAGCAATAGGCCAACGGTACCAGGGCCAACGAAAGGAGGGTCTTGCTCAGCATGGTGGAATCAAGTATTCGAAAGTAGATCAGTGGGAAGAGATGATCAGGATGAATGTTGGGTATCTCGTGCGGATAACGAGAGATCTTATAACAGTTACGCAAGACACTGATGACCTGAGACTTGTCTGACTTGGCTAAACGTCTCAAGACTGTGTTGCCTGCTGGCAAGTACGGCCACATACGTCGCTCTTGGAGCTCTTTGCGTCGTCAGCTCGTCGGTGGATAGATCACCAACTCGTCATGCGATCCTAACATGCAAAAAGAGACAAGTGAGGCGTGTGTGCATGTATTCCTGGAATCCTACAGCAACCTTACTAATGTTGGTCTCTGCTGATACAATCTGTGCCTTGGACATGATCGCTGGAAAGGCCGCAATCGTCTATGTTGGCAGGTATCCGCAGCATCCCAGGACACTGATGGTAAGTCCATCTATGCTCGTGTGTGCTGATCCTACCTCCTCCCTCCAGACAAGATCTCCAGGAAGCCAACAAACAGGATGCATAAGTGGAACAACGTCCAGTGTTGCGAGTTCCTCAAGGTAGTCAATCGTTGATATGAAGGGGCGAGGTCAAGTCTGACGAATCGTAGTCAAGCATCGAGAGAGCTAACATTGACCAATGCCCCTTCCTTCCATCACACCCGCGCGAACTCAATATAAACTTCGCTTTGTACGTACGCACCAACCCGCAGCGATAGAATGGTTATAGACGAACACCCACATTGAACACCGAGAAGGATTTCAAGAGTCCCACTGATCAACACAACACACCCCAAGCAGACCCCACATGCCATTGAAATCCTTCGAAGCTGTGCCTCTCATTCCAACACCAGCCCCCACAAGGTATGAATCCGATGCCAGGTTCCACAGCCACAGACACGATCCACCCACTCGAAACCGTCCATTGGGAAGTCTTGATCTAGTGTTGGTCGTTCTGCATATCCTTAGGAGTCGGCATCAAAGACAACGACCAGGATTCAGGATCCAAGAGCGTTGGTGAAGTTCCTCGGAGACCAACTGATCACCAACTGTGTTGGTAGCAAGATATCTGCATCGACGTTAACCTGCACACCCTCATACCTCGACGTCTTGGAACGTGATTGTGCAAGATACAATAGAAGCCATCCGCTATCCACATCACAAGCACCAGCAAACCAAACACCATCACTCACGTCTCCAAACCACATTCCCTCTTCAAACAATCTACAGTTTACCATACCCAACCTTCGCAATGCAATTCAAACTCACCGCTATCACTCTCATCACCGCTCTATTTGCAAGCAATGCCCTTGCAGCCGCGATCCCAGAGCCAATCAATGCGGTCTCGCGCATCGCCACCGATCAATGTAAGCCATACCAATCTTCACACTGCCAATTCATCATTTTCCACTGACTCTCGAAACCGCAGACTCTGCTTGCAATTGCCCAAACAATTGCAGACACAAAGCACAAAGTGGCTGCAAGTACAAGGCAGGCCCCAGCACCGAGTCTGACACCATTAGTGGCAGTAAGTTCTTCGTTCCTGTTTTGGGTTTCTACTGCTGGGCTGTGAGCTTTGTGGTGAAAAAAAGTGTATTCTATGCATGACTGACTTGGTATATTTATAGAATGCACTGATGTGGGTGGAAGCTTGACTTGTATTGCTACTTGAATAGCGAGTCCTGGCGTACAGCTCTAGTCAAGCCATGATGAGATACAAGATTAGTAGCTTGATTCTTCTATATAAACAGAATTGAGAAAATTTCCCACATGAGAGTCTTGCTGCCCTGTTTGCGATCTTGTGATTTTTTGGAATTGTATGGGTGGTTGCCAATTTTTTCCGTTCTCAAAAATCTTATGCATCCTTCCAACTGCGCCACATGTTGCTCTTCTAAACATCAAAATAGTGCAGAATCGTGATTGTCACATGCTGTTGCTTGCGCCAGCGCTGATCGCAACAGCCGCATGTTGCTTGCGCCAGCGCTGATCGCAACAGCCGCATGTTGCTGTGTGTTAGCTGTTGGTGATCTGCGCGTGTTGTTTCACATTGAGAACTGCTCTGGGCGATATCATTGGTTACATTGGTGAAGATCAGAAGGCAGGCTGAGGCACAGTAACTGCAGGGCGCTAATAGCAGGTGCTGCGGGGGAAACTGATTCAAAGGTCATAGCGTTTATAGATCCTAACATATAATCCCTTTGCAAACCCCAGCCTCATCATCCCATGCTATTCATCCCCGTGGGTGGCACTTTGGTTTTGACGCAGCAAAGCTTTGAGCACTACATACATACAAACCACAGATTCACGATTCTTTCAGACTTGATACCTCAGCAAAGCAGCGACAAGATGCAAACCCGCAATGTCAAGCAAAATGATACTTCAAATTCTATCAACAGTGAGTCTTCCTTAATTCCTTCTCTTCTTTACCGAAGCCCATCTAATTCACAACTCTCAGAACCCACTACAAAACCAAATCCAAGCTTTCTAAAACGATTGCTCGCAACATCTGCATTCCAAGCACCCATCATGGCTCTCGCTTTAGTACTCTTGAACTGGTATAACGGCAACTATACTCTTTCTCTAAAGCTCAACGAGGTTCCTTTGTGGCAATTGTTTGTTTGTTTTGGTGGTACGAATTTGTGCGCTGGGA